GGGAAGTTAGACATGAGGACATCGACATGAAGTGCACTGCACTGCACTGCACCACCATATGCCCATCTCACCCATCTCCTCGATATGTCGTGGTCTATAAGGGAGACTTTTTATTTTCCTCAAGTCCAATCACCGCGGTCGCTTCTCATCCTCCCTCATCAGCCGTATCACCTCCGCCCTCCGCTCCTCCACCTTTGCCAGCTCTTCCTGTCGTACCCTCTTCCGCTCCTCATGCGTAGCAAACCATTCTTCGCGCGCGCGGTCTTCCTCCTCGGGCTTCGCGTGGGCGACCATACACGCATTCATCGCCAGCCGCTGCGTCCGGCATATCCATGTTGCTGTTACGGTGCGGTTGACGGCACATTCCGCGAAAGCTGTACCGTTAGTAAGACACAGCCCAAAAAAATAAGGAGAGCCAAAGCCAAAGCTCAAGCTCAAGTCCCAGTTGCTAGGATTTTAAAATACCCTTAATCTCTGGTGCGCACAACCCCCGTACCCGCTTGTAGTAAAGCTGCTTGACCTCTGATTCCTGCGCGGCGGAGAGGGGCATCGGATTGCGCAGGCTAGCTGGCCGCGACGGGGTTTCTGTTGCCATGGTGATTTTTTATATATGATGGGAATTGAAAGGTGTGTCTTTTTTTCTTTCTCTCCCCTCGTAGATAGTTCGACTCGCGGGGTGATTGATCGGTCAAGGTGGTTGGGTGAAGACCACTCGGCGTCTCGCGTGTGAGAGCAGGTGTTTCGTAGGTCCAATTCCAATTCTATATTTATTGTAGTGGCAAGAACGTAGAGAAATAATTGAGAGTACCGCGTTCAGAAAAGAAAAAAGAAACGGAATTGTGTCGCTTGAATGCGGATCTGTTTTCTCTGTACTCCAGTCTGGTCGACTGTTGGGAGGAGGTTCAAGTCGTGGTCCGCGCGGGCCAAGCAACTTTTCCGCAAAACTTCCGATTTTCTTCTCTCACCATTCATTTCTAGATAACTTTTTTCTTCTCACAACCACAAATACCGGCACACCGGGACTGTTTATCCTTTTGGTGTTTTTCCCCAATTCAGATTTCTATTAAAATCTTTACCATGTCCTCTATGCGAAATGCCGTCCATCGACGGAACCACAAAGAGCGAGGCCAGCTCGAGGGCCGGGAGAAATGGGGTATTCTCGAGAAGCACAAGGTATTTACACAATAAAGAAGAGGTATAGATGCTTGATATTGACTAGTATAGGATTACTCCCTCCGCGCAAAAGACTACAACGTCAAGAAAGCCAAGCTGAAGCGCCTTAACGAGAAAGCACGCGACCGGAACCCTGATGAGTTCGCCTTTGGGATGATGTCGGAGCGGTCGCGCGTACAGGGACGGCACGGGGCACGAGATTCCGCGGAGGCACGCGGGCTGAGCCACGAGGCATTGAAGTTGCTCAAGACGCAGGATGCAGGATACCTGCGTGTCGTGGGGGAGCGGGTGCGGCGCGAGATGGAGCGGGTGGGCAATGAGATTAGATTGCAGGATGGGATGAATCTAGCCAAGGAAAAGAAGGGGAGTGAAGGCGACGAAGACGACGAAGACGACGACGAGGAGGAAGAAGAAGAAGAAGAGGAAGGGTTTGATTTCGATTTCGGCACGGACAAGAAACCTCGCAAGATGGTCTTTGCTGAGAGCCGTGAGGAACAACAAAGTCTGAAACGGGGGAAAGGAACCGATGCCGATGATGATGATGACGATGATGACGACGAATCAAACAATGAGGTGGACGACTCATTACCAAAATCCAAGAAGCAACTGATGGCCGAGCGACAGAAACTGGTGGCCGCCCGCCGAGCGCGCAAGATGAAGAAACGTGCGTCCGAGGCGCGCGAGCACAAGCTGACTGCCTTGAAGAAACAGCACACTCAGATCGTTGCGGCGCAGCGCGAACTGGACTGGCAGCGAGCGAAGATGGAGAATTCGGTTGGGGGGACGAACAAGAATGGAATCAAGTGGAAGATCAGGGAGAGGAAGAGGTAACTGCTCTATTATCTACGCATGGTTCTTTGAGAAAAGGAAGGGTTTTCTTTTGCGTCTACATGGTCTCAGGTATATACGATACGGCGTTGTGGGAAAAAGTAAATGTACATTTAGACACAACTAGAGGAGCTGGAAGCTGATCAACAGCGATTTATTAGATGACTAAAGTGAGAGTAAAAAAAAAAAGAATGAGGGAATATTCCCCAGCTTGCTAAGGAAAGAAGAAAGCCTTAAGGACATCCCGAGTCAGGATAGTTGCAGCTGCTGGTGGTATCGCCGCCGGTGATATCAACGTCGGTGAAGGTGAAGTCGGAGCAGCTACCGTCGCCACAGAGGATGTAGTAGTCCTCGCCGTCCGAGGAGCAGGTTCCGGTAATTTCAATGAAGGAGATGTCGGTGATGGTCACGCCGTTGGAGGGGGTGCCTGTGGCGCCACCGTTCTCGTAGTCCTGTTGGACATCGATACCGTAGTCCGTGATGCCGGAGAGGGTGATGTTCTCGTAGGTGACGTCGCTGATGGAGCCGGTGGTGTTATAGTTGGTCTTGATGCGACAGCCGTTCTCGCTGTCAACGACCTGCGAGTTGGAGAATGTGATGCCGGCAACGGTGTTGTTGCTCTTGCCACCGACAGAGCCGATCGACAAGCCGTGGCCACCGTAGCAGTAGAAGCCGTCGACGACGATGTTGCTGCCGCTTGTGATGGCAACGCAGTCGTCCTGGTTGTGCACCCAGGTATCCTGCAGCGTGACCGTGTCACTCTGGGAGATGTCGAAGCCGTCGGTGTTGTGCGCGGCGGCTTCACCATCGCTCGCCGAGTTGGCAGCGTCGCCAGCCGAGTTGTTAAGCGTCAGGCCTGAGATGACCAGGCCAGCCACGTCCTCGATTTCGAAGCAGTGCACAGGCCAGTTCTGGATGTATAGGTTCTCGATCACGCCATTATACACGTCCTTGACGACGATAAAGTGGTCGGGCTTCGACTGGCCGCCATTCGAGCCCTCGCCATCCCAGTAGGCCTGGCCGTTGCCGTCGATGACGTGGCCAGTGGCACCGGTGATAGTGATGTCCGTACCGGAGATGACAATGGGGTCAAAGTCATCATCGTAGGTGTCGCCGAAAGTGGTCTCTCCCGCAAAGGTGACCACCGCGCCGGTCTGCAGCGACGTGAGATCGATCGTGCTGGAGGCAGGCGCAGAGATGCCCGACAGCACAATGTTGGTGCACGACGCGACGGCCGACGAGATGTCATCGTACTCAGTCACGGTGCAGGCATCGCCGTCGGCCGCTGCGGAGGTGACAGCCACAGGGGTGACATCGGGGACAGCCGCGGCAGTGGTCTCGGCAGCTGCGGTGGTAGCAGCCACGACCTGAACGTAGCTGGAAGCAGCCTCAGGCTGAGCGTAGGTAGAAGCCGCCTCGGGCTGGGCATAGGTAGAGACAGCCGCGGGCTCAGCGTAGGTAGAAGCCGCCTCAGGCTGGGCATAGTAAGAGGAATAATAACCACCATTCTCCGACTGGCCGCTGGCCGCCGGGGCAGCTGCCTGCGTAGCCGAAGTCACATAGCCACCGTCAGAGCCTCCTCCCATGGCTGCACTAGAGGCAAAGGGGGAGGACTGGTCGTTGGAGCCAGTGCTACCGCTGTAGCCATTATCATCGCCGAAGCCAGAGTCACCGCCGAAACCAGAGTCGCCGCCGAAGCCAGAGTCGCCGCCGTAGTTACCAGAGTCCTAGCATCATTAGCGACCTTTTTTTCTTGTTTTCTTCTTTTATAGTGAACTGGAAAGGGAGGTGGTCATACATCCTGGGAAGACCTGTTGGGAGGCGCCGGGGCAGCCAGTGCCACGACGGGGAGAAGCGAGAGAAGAAGCGCGCAGCGCATTGTGAATTAAATGAATGGATTTTTGTTTTTTTTTTCTTAATGAATGGGCCTTGGGAAGGAGAAAGAAAAGAAAGAAAGAAAGATGCTTTGAAACGTCCAGTCGGTCTCTGCAGGGAGACAGGACAAAGCTGCCGTCTTATATCAGTCCATTCTTTCTCCGCATAGAACCCACGCCTATTTCCATGGAGGGTCAGTCTCAAGTTGAATTTAGCAACAGTAATATTAATGGTCCTCCATAATACAATGCAGTATGTCATGCTCTTTGCGTTCCCTGCTAAGGGCCAGGGTTCGCCTTGTATTGGTGGAGATTCTCCCCGTTTCAGCGACTTTTCCGTGCCCAGCAAGGCGTACGCGATTCGCTGCGTCCCCTGAATGCTCCTGAAGAAGAAACATAGGAAGAACCGGGGAAAACCCAAGAGCGTCATGGTCTCATTTAGACGAAACGGGAGTTCAAGGGTGAGAGGGTAGAGGAACGGTAGCGAGTGCAGACGGCTTGTTTCACCATGCTGCTCCACACATAGCAGGGTGATGGAAATGATTATGAGTAAATAATGATATTCGCAAGTTCGCAATCCAGCATTTACTCCGGAGTAGTCCCTGGCTGGTAGTCAAGTGGGAACTGTGCCTTGTCAACATGGATTATAGGCCCTGTCAGTGGGTCTATAGCAGTATCACTATCCAATCTATTAATTGGGGGCATTCTTAGACCAGGGTCATGACTGAAGAGCTTTTAATTTAGAACTGTATATGCTCGGTCAAAAAGAATTTTGCCGAAAACCATTGCCGAAGAAACTAATGAACATTCCAAAAAAAAAAAAAAGAAAGAAAGAAAAAAAAAAAGACAAAGACAAAGGCGAAGGGTCAACGCTCGTTTGCCCTACCGGCGCATAGCAGCAACGCGGACGCTGACAGCGCGCTTGTGGGCATCCAGCCCCTCGACGGCGGCCAGCTGCTCGACTGTCTTCGAGAGGGCGTACAGCCCGTCGGCGGTCAGGTTGGAGCTGGTGATGTGCTTGAGGAAGGAGCCGAGGTTGACACCAGAGTACTGCTTGGCGTAGCCGTATGTTGCTAGAGAGGTTAGCTTGTAAGAAAGAGGGGGGAGGCAGGGGGAAGGAAAGGAAAGGAACGTACGTAAAGAGTGGTTGACGCCAGCAGAGTAGTCTCCCACCGACTCCGGCGTCCACTGGCCGATGAAGACGCTGCCGGCGTTCTGCACACGATCAACGAGGGCCTCGGCGTCGGCAACCTGCAGGATGAGGTGTTCCGGGGCGTACTCGTTGCTGATGTCCATGGCCTCGTCGATGTCACGGACGACATAGGTGACCGAGTGGGCGAGGGAGCCCTTGACGATATCAACTCGGGGCAGCGCCTTGGCCTGGGCGTCGACCTCGTCCTCGATCGCCTGCAGCTGGGCCTCATTCAGGTCGACAGCGATCAGAATCACCTGGGAGTCAACGCCGTGCTCCGCCTGGCTGAGCAGGTCCGACGCAACAAACGCCGGGTTGGCGTCCTTGTCGGCGATGACCAGCACCTCGCTGGGACCCGCGGGCATGTCGATGCTGACACCCGCCGATGTGTCGTTGGAGACCAGCATCTTGGCCGCCGTGACGAACTGGTTACCAGGACCCAGAATCTTGTCGACCTTGCTGATGCTTTCGGTGCCATACGCCATGGCCGCGACCGCCTGCGCGCCGCCGGCCAGCACAATGCTCTCCGCGCCCACTTTGTGCGCCACGTAGACAATCTCCGGCGAGATGCTGCCGTCCGCGCGTGGCGGGGAGGCAAAGACAATCGTCTTGCACTCGGCCACCATGGCCGGCACGCCTAGCATCATCGCCGTCGAGGGCAACACCGCGGTGCCGCCGGGGATGTACAAGCCGACGCGCTCGATCGGGCGCGAGAAGCGCGAGCAGACAACGCCCGGCATAGTCTCTACGCGCATGGTGTCGTTGCTAGACTTCTGCGCTGCGTGGAAGCGGTGAATGTTGGCGATGCTGATGTCGATCGCCTCCTGCGTCTCGGGCGACAGCTTCATCAGCTCCGGCGAGTATGGCGCCTTGAGCACCGGCGACTGCAGCGAGGTCGCCTTCTCGAACTTGTGGGTGTACTTGAGCACGGCCGCATCGCCGTTGGTACGCACGTCATCGATGATCGGGCGCACAAGGCCAACAATCACATCGTTGGACTTTTGCGACGGCCGCTTCAGCGCGGCCATGACCTCACTGGCGGGCGTAGTCGCAGTAACGATACGCTTCATTTCAATCCGCCCATCTTGAGCTGTCGGCGCGGGTGTGGGAGCAGCAGCAGGGGTAGGAGCCGGAGGGGCAGCAGGGACAGCAGACTCGGCCTTTGCCAGGCCAGCCTTTTCAGCCCATGGCCCCTTGGCGTCGCCCTTTCTCCGCTTGACCTTGAGGCTCTTCAGGTCGAGGTTCCGCTCGATGTCCTCGAGAGTGACACCGGCGGCAGCACATTTGGTAAGAGCAAAATAGAAGAGGTCTGCCGCCTCGAAGGCAATCTCTTCCTTGGTCTGTGCCTGGCACAGCTCCTCTGCTTCCTCCATGATCTTCGCCTCGACCAGCTTAGGCTCATTGAACAGCCGAGCAGTATATGACCCGGCGGGAGCGTCAGCCTTGCGTGCCAGGAGAGTCTTCTGAAGACGCGACAGACCAGAGTACTGGCCGAAGCAGCTTGCAGTGCCTAGGTGGCAGAAGCCTATCAAGTTAATCGCTGTATTAAGAGGAAAACAAGAAAAGAAGAGAAGAAGAAGAAGAGAAAACATACCTCTGCCAATCTGATTGACGACAAACAGCAGACAGTCACTGTCACAGTCGAAACCGACTCGTAGCAGCTCCTGAACATCACCGCTAGACTGACCCTTGTACCACAACCCACGCTTCCTGCTCTGGTAGACGCCAGTCCCGGTGCGGAGGGCCTCGGCAATGCTCTCGTCGCTGCTCCAGACGAGTCCAAGAGAGACCCCGCGCTCGTCAGTCACGGAGGTTGCATAGAGGCCCGTGTTGGGATCCGCGACGGCACGCGTAGAGAGCAGCTTGGCCGCGGAGATCTTCTTGTTCTTCCCATCCTCGTTGCGTTCGAGCGTCAACGCCTCGGCAGGCACCACACTGACAGCACCCTGCGCCAGCGTCAGCTTGAGAAGATCCTCTGTTACGACAGCAGCAGCACCACCAACACCACCACTGCCACGATACGCCCTGAACAGATTCTGAGCCTCAGGATCCGTCTGCAGTGTTTCGGCAACAGTCTTGACATTATCGGACTCGGTGCACAGGCCTGTAGCCTTCCGGTCAGCACTCTGGCCCACCCAGGCCTTGAAGCCATCGATCTCGGCGTCGGAGGAAGCGAAAACGACGAGTCGGTCGGCGGGCACGCTCTGCTCGGCAGACAGGACAGCCAGTTGGGCCGGGGTGACGAAGACGCGGGCGGCGCCGGCGTTCAGGATGTCGACGATCTCGCCGGCAGTGGCGATCGCAGAGACATCGACGTAGACGTCCAGCCGGCGGAAATTCTCACGCAGGAACTGCTCCGCCTGTGACAGGGTGGCAGCCTTGATCAGCACGCGGCCAAAGTAGGCGATCTGCTGGAGCGAGAGACCCGCGGGGGCGACGGAGGAAGAGGAGGAGGGGTCGAAGGAGACGAGGAAGGGAGTCGCCATGGTGGGAGAGAGGTGATCGATTGACAATCAATCAATCAATCAATCAATCGCTCAATCGATGACAGGGGATTGATTGAAAGGCACTGCCTGATACCTGTCCCGTCAATGATGCTGTTGAGTCACTGTCACTGATAAGTAATAAGAGGGGCGGACATTTGCGTGTGTCACCAAAACTTTTTCTGCCCCGCATGACAAAGCAGAATTATTAGTTGATTTGTTCTTATTACTATGTTTATTGTTTATTGGCCATGTTAATCTTACTATATTTTGATTTGATACACAGTCTAGTCGTACAGTTGATAGTCGATACTGGATAGACTTGAATCTCGACTGGGGTGTACAGATGGCTGCGCTCACATGGCGTAGAAGGAGTGCTTTGTGGGTAAGGAGTTTACTGCAACGCCTTGATTATTATATTGAAATTAATATATAAGATATCTAGCTGGAATCAATATTCATCATATCTGAGGAACAATTCGTGGTGTGACTATTGTTGTGGCTCCAGTATGTAGTGTGTTGTACACCTGCTTCTTATAGTCATACATTTGTATTACAACACCATTCTTTCATGAAATGGATATCTATTATAATTACAGTAAATAGTACACTAGTCCTGGTATCTCTTCGCTTCGTCCACAAACCGTCTGGCAGGGACCTTCTGGTGAAAGAGATGGTCCAGGGTCTCTGTAGTCAACCCCCGGGTCTCCGGTAGACGAAAGTACGCCCAGATCAACAACAGCAGGGTGAACAACGCGGCAGGAAAGGCCGCCTTGCCCTTAAGGTTTCCGTCGGCCGGGTTGAGCATGTATGGCGACACACACGTGCTGATCAGCGAGAGGATGTAGTACATGTTGCGCCCTAGAGAGATGGTCTTGACACGCAGCTTGCTGGCGCCGACCTCGGCGGCGATGGCGTAGGGGATGGGACCGATGGTGCTTCCTGATATCGTTAGTCGGGGCTTCTTTTTTTCTCTTGATCTTTTGTTTAATTGTCGAATTTTTCCATCCTTACCGTAAATAAAAAACCAGGAGAGCAGAAGTGCAGCTTGTGCCCAGCGGATAGACGATGAGGCCGGCGCTAAGTCGAGGAAACCAACGATCAACATTATTGGCAGCATGGCAATCAGTCCCATGATATAGATTGTGCGCCGGCCTATATGAGCCTGTAGTACCCAGGAGAAGCAGGTTCCGATGAAAGCGAGACTGTAGCTACCTGAGATGAGAATAAGAATGTTAGTACTAATCCATGGAAGCAAAAAAAAAGGGCAAGAAAAGAGAAAAAAAAAAAAAAACTTTACCTAGAGCCACCTTGAATGCTTCACTCGACGATAAGCCTGCCAGCTCGAAAAAGTAGGTGATGTAGTTTTGAATGGCAAACCCGGGCACCATCTGGAACCCCCAGCTGACCATGGAGATCTCGGTACGGCGGCGGTTTGTACCCCGGAAGCACTCGCGGTATGAGGAGCCGACCTGCATCTCCTGCTCGAGGCGAGTGAGGTGCTGGATCATGGCGACATGGCGGTCGACGCGGATGTCTGCGTCGGTGGTCTTGCGGGACAGGAGCCGGCGCAGCGAGACACGCGCCTCGTCGAAGCGCTTCTGGCGAACCAGCCACCAGGGAGACTCGGGAGCCAGCCAGGTGACGAAGAAGAGCGGCACAGGTAACGCCCACTGCAGGGCAAAGGGGATGCGGTAGGACCACTGGGTGGTGTTTTTGATGAGGCCTGTCAGTAGACCGGTGGCGACCAGGTGGCCGATAACCCAGCACAGGTTGACAAAGGTAGTGAGGTAGCCACGCAGGGCCATGGGACACACCTCGGCGGCGTAGGCGGTGGTGGCAGCCGCGAAGAACCCCCAGGGAATGGAGCACAGCAGCTCGCCGGCGAAGAGGACCTCGATGCTCTGCGCGAAAAAGGTGATGAAGACGAAGCCGATCAGAACGACGTGCGACGCCATGATCACCCGCCGAGGTCCATACCGATCAACCAACGTCCCGTTGGCAAACACACCGATGATGAGTCCGATGAGCGAGGCCAGGCTGAGTGCCATCTGCCACTTGGCCGGTACGGACCAGCTGCCGTCCGCCAGCTGGACGCCGTACTTCTCCTTGAACTGCGGGAAGGCGTAGAAGGAGGAGATGATCAGCATGTCGTACGACTCCATCACCGTTGCCAGCGAGATTAAAACCGACCAGGCAATCGCCGGCCGGTAGTTCTGCAGCGCATCGCCCAGCGTGAGGTCTTTATCGGCTTTGGTACCAAGAGCGGCATCGTCGTCAGCCTTGAGGCTGGCTTCGTCCGCCACGACGCTTGCAAGCTTCTCGGGATCAGCCATGGAGGATAACAATCAACAGACTCACAGCTAAAAAGAGACTCACGCCAGCCAACCCATTACACAGGGCCTTGAGAAACGCTTTTTATACAGCAGCTCCTAGATCCTGTCTCCCCATCGACAGGAACGCCAAATTCGTCATATTCAACTGGAACTGCTCATCGACGCCATGACTTCTTGGAACTCGCCGTCCTCGCCCAATATGAAGCAGTGTTGTTCTCTGAAGCTGCAAAATGGCGAATCTGTATATCTCGATGGCGTGCTGGACCGGCTCTCGCAGGCAGTCGCTCTTTGTTCTGGTTGGCTTCATCTCGGCGGATCTGTGGCCTGAGGCATTCAACCGATGGTTTGCTGCTGAGTCAGCCTCGCCGGTTTTCAGACTGGGAAGTCGCAGACGACGAGGAGCCTCAGTTGAGCTTCAGTCTATAATTAAGCAATACTACGTACCTACTACCTACCTTACGTCTTTCTCCTTCCAACTGCTGCGGGCCGTTGCTAACAGGGCTATTTTAGAACAGCTACAGAAGACGTGTCGATCCTCCAGATGCGGAATACCGGCAATAATTTGATGTGATACCGAGAGGAGCGTTGGAAATGGAATCAAAGTCAATGCAAATGCTTTCCATTTTCGCTTGAGACAGTGTGTACTGTGCACCAAAGTCTGCCTCACCACCTTACCACTCGCTATCGCTTCAGGGTTTTGCGTTGGCCGGTGAAACCCTTGAATCAGCGATGAAGCCGGCGCGGCTGTGGCTAGGTGGAAGTATCAGGACAACGAGGAAACACACACAAAGAACACGATGACTAACGGAGCTTTCCTAGACACCTGATGACGATGGCAATCAACCATCTGTCAGAAAGTAAAAGAGAATATGGAATAACAGGGTGTACGATGTAGTACATAGGATACGGAAGTACCTGCCTAGGGAGAAGCGAAGCAAAAAATACCGAGGAACAAGGATTGATGGAGATCTTGTCATTATTCAATCACTCTCCTCGACGTGTATAACTATACTACATACTCATCGTTATATTCACGGGGTACTCATGGTTCATATCTATGGGAAAGGTATAAATAGATAGCGGATACTTACCCCAGTTCTATGGAATAGATAGCTTGATAATAGTGTCAATCCATGGTTCATCTTCTCTAGATAATAATACCACTGGAAATAGTCTGGAAGATCAATAAAACATTCATGGAGAATATTCTGATTATTATGTCGATTATTGCATTCCTCCTTCCCCGCGAGTAACACATTCCGTCTCACGCGTCTCTCGTGACTTTTACTCTTCTTCTCCTCTTCTCCTCTTCTCCTCTTCTCCAAGTACCCTCGCTTCATCTCCCCCTTCCCCCTTCTCATCTTTTCCCTTCCATCAGTCACTCTTTTTTCTGTCGCCCTATTTTTTCTGCCTAATTTCACCATGCGTTTCGTTCTCTGGTCCCTCCCGTGGGCCTCAGTGGCCCTGATCGGCGACGCTCTAGCTCGACCCCACGCCGCTCAAAGTGTGCTCTCCTTGTCCGACGAAGACGCCACAGAGAGAGCAGAGGCAGTGAAAGAGGCCTTCCAGCATGCCTGGAAGGGATACAAGAAATACGCATTTCCTCATGACGAGCTCCATCCGGTCTCCAACGGATTCGGCGATTCCAGGTACTCACTACCTAGGTTACTGATTGATCGGATCGGATGCAGGCAAGCTGACCCGACTCGGTAGGAATGGATGGGGAGCTTCGGCAGTGGATGCATTGTCCACTGCGCTCATTATGCGAGACGCCGACATCGTCAACCAGATCCTTGACTTCATCCCGACCATCGACTACACCCAGACTAACCAGCAGGTCAGCCTGTTCGAGACCACCATCCGCTACTTGGCAGGCATGCTTTCCGGCTACGATCTGCTCACTGGTCCGCTGGCAGACCTGGCGAGCGATTCCACAAAAGTGGACGCCCTACTGTCTCAGTCCAAGAAACTGGCCGATATCCTCAAGTTTGCCTTTGATACCCCGTCGGGCGTTCCCTACAACGGTATCAACATCACCTCCAAGGGCAACAACGGTGCCACTTCGAATGGTCTTGCCGTGACTGGCACCCTCGTTCTCGAATGGACCCGGTTGTCCGATCTCACCCAGGACCAGGAGTATGCCAACCTGAGCCAGAAGGCCGAGTCGTACTTGCTGAATCCCCAGCCGGCCACCGCGGAGCCCTTCCCGGGCCTCGTGGGCTCAAACATCAATATCGACACGGGTCTGTTTGAAAACGGGTATGTCAGCTGGAATGGTGGCGATGACTCCTTCTACGAGTACCTCCTCAAGATGTACGTCTACGATCCCTTGCGGTTCGGCGAGTACCTGAACCGATGGGAGGCCGCCGTCAACTCGACCATGGCCCATCTGACCTCGCACCCGGCCTCGCGCCCCGACCTGACCTTCCTGGCGACGTACAACGACGGGTCCTATGGCCTGAGCTCCCAGCACCTGACCTGCTTTGACGGTGGCAGCTTCCTGCTCGGCGGCTCCATCCTCGAGCGCCAGGATCTCATCGACTACGGCCTGCAGCTCGTCGACAGCTGCTACGATACCTACAACGAAACCGCCACGGGAATTGGCCCGGAGCAGTTCAGCTGGGACTCGGCCTCGGTTCCGTCGGCCCAGCAGGCCTTCTACCAGCGTGCTGGATTCTACATCCAGAGCGGCTATTATATCCTGCGCCCAGAGGTGATTGAGAGCATCTACTATGCCTATCGCATTACGAAAGACCAGAAGGTATTTGCAAGTAGACTGCTGGTTGATAATCTCCCCGGTTAACGTTTTTATAGTATCAAGAATGGGCCTGGGACGCCTTTGTGGCCATCAATGCAACGTGCCGCACCGATTCTGGGTTTTCCGGCATCACTGACGTGAACGCCGCCAACGGCGGATCGCGCGACGACAACCAGGAGAGTTTCCTCTTTGCCGAAGTATTGAAATACTCGTATCTCATCCACGCACCGGGTAAGTCGTTCAGATGCGGAATGAGACCGAACGCCCGACTGACTTGTACAGAGGATGAATGGCAGATCCAGGCTGGCGATGGCCAGAACACCTTTGTGTTCAATACCGAGGCTCACCCGATCCGAGTTGCGCAGAGATAATCATTGTTAAATAGCATCGAATACCTTCAATAGCAAACCGCTCATTCAGATACAAAAGTAACGTGAATGTAACAATCCAAGTACTTCCATGACGTCAATACCGCGAGATATCGCGTCCAACCACCCTATTCAACAGCCAATTCAAGAGGATGCGCAGTCTATTCCGCCAACTCATGGTCATACACTCAGACAAGCCGAGTCCCAGACCAAACGGGCGACACGGCCACGCAGACCGGAAGGAAAATACTACCCTCCCTTTGCTTAGTCATGTCCATTGTTCCGCCGGGGATGTGGGAACTGCACCAATGCCTCGTCCTTGCCGATATACGCCAGCATGCCTAGACTCCAGAACGTAAAGGGCGGACACTTTGTCACTTACTAAGAGCTAACACGTGATTATGCTTAGTCAGTCTATTAGTCCTGTGTGGACTCATGGAGTAGCAGGTTTTTATGAAATGTCAATCACCACCAGAAGCAGTAGTTCCGAGATAAGTTCAAGCCGTAGCAAGTAGACTATTATTATTGTGGCGAGAAGTTCGGTCCCTCCGGGATACTCCGTTCAGCCCGGATCCCCCGAGAACTCCGAGTCCACGGAAGTTCCCCGGTCCCAGCGAGACGTACAGGAACCAACTCATCATTCCGTACTCCGTAACTTTAACTCCTTAGCGACGTGTCCGGCCACGTAGATAAAAGTCTGTAGTAAAGAAAAGTGACTCATTGGAGGCAACAGCATTACTCTCAGCCACAAGTATTCGCCCGTCGCCACTGATAGCCTCTGTGGCGCAGCAGGTGTCTCCGCACGTGGGCCTCGGGGTATTCCAGAAGTGGATCTCCGAGTGCCCGATTCGGGGATAGTCGCCTGAAAGGGTAATGTCCAGCACATTCGGGTTATTTCTGCTGCCTATTCAGAAGATATAAAGACAACGGATCGTAGAGTTGTCTTCTTCTTTTTCCCCTCATCAAACACACATCACGCACATCATTCAATATGACTGCTTTCAACTTCACCCCTGCTGAATGGGACGATATGTCCAAACTCGAGAATCACCCTTTCTTCGCCAAGGGCGGCCACCGCGGCCGCTTTGGTCGTCGCGGCGGCGGTGGCGGCGGCGGCGGTCGTGCTGCTGCCCGTGAGGAGATGCGACAGGCCAAGGAATCCGCCGACAAGCAACAGAACGAGAACCAGAGCTCGACAGAATCCGAGTCGGACCCCCGTTTCTTCATGCGTCGCAAGGGAGGCCGTGGCGGTAAGGGCATGGGAATGGGTATGGGAATGGGAATGGGTATGGGCCCTCGTGGGGCCGGTCACCCTTACGCCATGGGTGGTGGTCGTCACGGAAGACGTGGCGGAGAGTTTGGAGGATTTGGAGAATTCGGCCTTGGCGGTGGTCGCGGAGGACGAGGATTTCATGGCCGCGGCGGTCCCCTTGGCGGTGGACCTCGTGGAATGGGAATGGGAGGAGGAATGGGAATGGGAGGAAGACCTGGCGGATGTGGCCTCGGCAGAGGAGGCAAGTTCGGAGGCCTCAATGGTAAAGGAGGGATGATGATCCCACCGTTTATCGGCCGGCTGGCGGCGCAGTTGGGCCTCCCCGTCGAACAGGTGTGGCGCGACTACAACGCCCAGACGAGCGAGAACATCCTCGACTTTGTGCCTCCCGTGGACGTGTTCGACACCCCCGCCGCATACATTGTGCAGGTGTCGTTGCCCGGCGCGAGCAAACCAGACATCAACGTCGACTACGACGCCGACAAGGGCGTGCTGCGCCTGTCGGGCGTGGTCCACCGGCCGGGCATTGACGAAGAAACACACAAGACGCTGGTCATCGCCGAACGCGAGAACCAGGTCGGCGTCTTTGAACGGGTCGTCCGGCTCGGTGGCCGCCGCGAACCTGCCTCCAGAGTCTGTGACGACAAGATGACAGCCAAGATGGAGGACGGCGTGTTGACCGTCACCCTCCCCAAGAGCCAGACCGAGAAGAAATCCATCCCCCTCGACTCGGAAACGGCCCTCGTCATTCGCGAAAAGTCCTTGGACGCAGACAGCGTCACCGAGGGGGTTATGACCCCAGACGAGAAGGACTACGTCCAGGTGGACGAATGATCGATTCCTCTTCTTCCTCTTCTTCTTCTTCTTCTTCCTCTTTTTCTATAATTTCCCTCATATCACTTTATTGTTGAGGTTACCATATTGGTATCCGTTTCCTTACTCTCATCTCATGGTTACCTTTATTTCTGACACGGGGCCATTTCTGTTTTTCATGTCGAGTACCATCATATAACCATCGATGGTACATGGTTCGGGTTTATGTTTCCTTATGATACCTGGAGACTGGCGTTGTTGATATTACCACTACTACCACTACTACTACCACACTTATAAAAAGTGAGAAAAAAAAAAGTATAGGCTTGCCTATACAATATACCACATACTCCATATTCCTACAAGTAGATGTAAACATTGATGAGTTTCTAAGATCCATGTGAGTACCTATTCCATAAAAGATACACAGTTTAATCCCAGACTGAATACTCTAGAGATACATATACTAAAGCAATGCTCTTCATTCTCGCCATTATTATTAGAACTGTAGTAATTTTATAATGCTCAAATAATACCCAAACGAAAAGCAAAAAAGACACAAAAAAAGGGGGTTGGAGAGAGAAGAAAAGTATGCTATGCCTATGGTGCAGCCTTCCCCGGGCACCATCTATGCAGATTTCAATCAAACAACATCCTTAGCCCAAAGATAGATGCAAAGAGAAGAAGAGAGAGAAAAAAAGAAAGGAAAAGGATTCAGGCAGGCTGCGGCAAGAACCTAGGATACAAAAGGATCACCGCTTGCCGGTTTTCTTGTCTTTGGGCATCTCCTTGAGGATATCATCGAAGCTCATGTTCGGGTTGAACCGGCTGACTGGTCTTGCCGGCGGCTCCATGGGCGCGACACCTGCGGGCAACGGGAGTGCCTCCAATCCCGGGTAGATGGAGTACCGATGGTCTGGCCGCAGGGCCGGAGAGTTGGTGCGCGGGATGGCGGCCGGTATGGGCGGTGGGCTAGTGGTAGGAGGCGGGGTAAAGGTGCCTGGCGGCATCAGTGGCGTGGCCTGCTGCTGCTGCAGGTGATATTGCTGCTGGAGGTGGTCAGACATGGAACCTGTCGACGATTGCTGCGCAGGGTAGGGCGAGGAGATGGAAGATTCCATGTCGTAATTGTCGTCAACGGCGGCGGCAGACCCGGCGAGTGGCCAGGGAACATTGGGGGCGGAGGGTTCCAGCAGGGCTCCCGCGGCTTCCGCCCATTGCTCTGCAACGCGCCAGCAGTGACTGCGGCGGTAGACGCCCTCGACACCGTTGATTACGACATCTGAGGGCAAGCTCACGACGCCGGCGCCACCGGCGACGCCGAACCAACTGCGGGCGGTCTGGCTGTCGTTCTGGATCCAGGGGGCACCGCCGCGCGGGGCGACACAGAGAAGGTACTCGACGCCCTCGGTGTATCTGATGTCCGCGACGTCCACGATCAGCATGGGCAGCGACTGGATGACAGCATAGAGGAAGATCCACTGGCCGCAGCGCAGGTCCATGATGTCGTCTAGATTTTTGCCGTGGGCGGCGCGGCGCTCGAACTGCATGAAGCTCTCGATCCAGGGGGTGGGCTTGATGCTTTCGCGGGTGTAGGAGCCCATGAGGACGGCATTGATGTCGACGTCCTTGAGCTTCTTGGAGCGCAGCTTATTCTCCTTCTTTGCGTCGACGGGCTTGCGGTGCAGGGGATCAAGCGTAGGTAGCTGCGGGGTATCAAAGGGGATGGGCGGCTGCACGGGTGGGGTGCTGCGGTCGTACTCGCTGAGGATCTGGCGCAGGGCGCGCAAGGTCAGCTCGCGCGGATCGGCGGTCGCGCCGGCATCGAGTGGCGCCAGGTCGACCGTGCGGGTGGTCAGGGAGGTGCGGTTGACCAGGAGGTCGTACAGATCGGCAAAGTCATGATAGAGGTCACGCAGCAGCAGGCGGTTCAGGCCGCTCTCCTCAAAGGCATTCTTCTTGGAGTGGGCCTTGGGCGGCCAGGAGCCGTACTTCTGGCGGTAGAACTGCATGGTGAAGCGACGGAACTCGAGGAAGGCGGCCTTCCAGGCCTTGAAGCGAACGACCTTGCTCTCGGCGGAGGTGGTGGAGTTGGCGATACCGGACCAGAGCGAGGGGAAGTCAAAGTCGTCGAGCTTGCTGTTGAGGATTCTGAGGCGGGTGTCGAGGTCGATGAAGCCGCGCTCCATGCGCTTCTGGGTGACGGGATGGATGAGGCCGAACTTGGGGCTACGCAGCTGCTTGAGCTCGTCAAGCTTGCCCACACCGTGCACAAAGCCTTCGAGATAGAGCGGGTAGTAGCGCAGGCGCTCGCCCAGGACGATGGCCTCGATGGTCTTCTCGCGGCTTTTGCGGACGTCAGCCAGGTGCAGCTCCTCGCAGTAGTTGGCGAAGCTGGTGGTGGCGGTCTCGCCAAAGTTGGAGCCGTCCAGGTTGGAGAACTCGAAGCGGGCCAGCAGGGTGGAGATATCCATGAAGATGGCGAACAGGCTGGGCGAACGGGGGGTGGCGATCAGCGACTGGCCCAGAAGGAAGGCGAACAGGTTCCGAAACAGAACGAGGGTCTCCGTGTCCTCCTGGGACAGGGTGGACTGGTCGTTGGAGACGTCGCTATTGAGTGGCACAGGCAGGTAGAGGTGCAGCTGCTGCGTTTCGCCGTCATCTTCCTCGTCCATACCCATTGCGCGGCTGCCAGAGCTGCCAGCGTCATGCTCGGCCAGTCGGTCTTGGGCCGAGAGCGCGGGCGAGGCGGGGCCTCCAAGCGAGAGGCGGCGGGCCTGCTGCTCGAGAGCGGCGGCCTGCATGTCGGTGCCGCGAGCAAGGAATGTCAGCGACTGTGATTCCACAAAGATGCTTGAGTCGACTCTGAACGAGGCCGGACGGCCGGTGTTCTGGGGGAACAGGTAGACCAGGGTATCGCCCTGCTCACTCCACAACTCGGGTATCTATTGGAGGGAAAATCAGATGTCAATCTGTTGGACTAGGCTTTTTTTTTTTTTTTTTTTTTTTCTTGTAAGAACATACCTGTTGCCCCCGAACCAAGGGATCCAGCTCGTAGGGGACCTTCTGGTCGAGACCGGCGATCCAGGCATTGGGCATCTGCTGAACCCGTCGATCCATGGAACTGGCGCGCATACGGCCGGGCATCCAACTGCGGCGCTTGCTGGGAGTACCCGGCCGTGAATCCGGACCGGTGCCCGGGACGAACAGTCCTCCCGCGCTGGAGGAGCGACCCCTGCTCTGAGGGCGGCCATCAGGGCCGGTGCCACTAGTATCCGCCAGGTCCTGGTTCAAGGCAAGCAGCGACGGGGGTGGTTGTAAGGGGCTATCGAGATCCAACTGGTCGATAGGACCCGGGGACACAATTGTTCGAGGTTCGGTCGGGTCGACATGCGGACTGGTACCTCCACGAGTGTGTCGGGAGCTGCTGCGGCGGTGGTGTTGCTGGTGCTGTTGTTGTTGATCGCGAGGAAGCTGGTCGGGCGAGCCTTTGACCAACCCAGGGGAACCGACGGGGGAGGAGTTGTTGGAGGAGCCCTGGTCCTTCTGCGAGTGCGAACCAAGGGAGAAGAGCGAGGAGATGCGCTTGGCCTGTTTGACGGGGGCCGACAACATCTTGACGGGCCGCGTCGAGGGGACGACACAGGGAAAGGTGGTAAGCGGCGGCGGCGGCGGCGGCAGCAGCAGCAGCAGCAGCAGCAGACAAAGGTCGAGACGATATTTCTTGCACCCAGCACTAAAGTGTGGAGAGGGCAACACGTCAGTCGTCCAGACGTGGGCGACGAGGCCCCTGGAGAATGGATCGACAACGAGCTTGGTAAAGGAATGGGCGGGCGGACGGAGGCAAGAGCGAGCAGGCAGCGGAGGTGAGGCTGTGAGATTTCGGACGCCGCCAACGACAGCAAATATACTCCCAACGCAGGTTTTCCGGCTCACGGAGGCTGAAACGACGGAAGCGAGCGAGGGGACCCCCTAGGCAGACAAATGAGTATGAGGATCTCGGATGGCAGAGTTTGGAGGCGCTGGTACAGTGGTCAGACCGGTTTGTTGGTGGGGAAGCGAGCAATGCCTCTTTTCCTCTGTCTCTCTCCACCGGCGAAAATGCAGCAGGAATGCAGCCAATGGGGGCTTCCAGGCTGAGCAGAACGACAGGGGGGCAAGGAAAAAAAAAGGAACGACAGACAGAGAGAGCGAATTCGCAAGGTAGACAGAGAGAGTGTCTGTCCGTGTCGATGCAGTCAGGACGAGGGGAATCTCGTTGATGGTTCAGGAGTCGGGCGGATCGGATCAGCTGACCCACTATTTATAGGGAAAAGTCACAGAATGGGCAGTCAAAGAGAGAAGAATATGGAGGATGACGGTGAATTCTGGTCTAATAGAGTAGAGAATTGGAGCAATTGACCGCATTCGAGTACCGACTGCAGGGTTTGGTCTCCCTCACTATTAATAGATGGAAGGGTTGTAGAAGAATTGAAGCTGGACTGATGACGTGTCGACAGCTCAACTTAATAATAATAATCATAATAATCATAATCATATTCATAAGTAATGAGATCATCTTGTCATACTTCATAATATACTAAACTAATTATAATTATTCCCCTGGAGACAGCTGTAAGGTACTCCAGATGTACCTGCAGGACTAGTTGGGTACAGTACAGCTATTGTATTATTGAGCATAACATAGCATAACTATGATTTGAAGTCTGGATGTATGAGAGTATTGGAATATTAGAGTATGGGAATATTAGAGTATGGGAATAATAGTAGAGTATTGAGTATTGGAGTCTTTATTCTAATAACTGATGATACCTGGTAGTAAATATATACCTTAGTTACCACTAATATTTATTCCAGGTACTTCTATTCTATCGGTTATCGTATCGATCTTGCATCATATCAATCTGCGACTAACTCAACTGACTCAGTAGATCGACCTAAGAATTCAGAGAGACCGTAAGACAAACCGAGAGGTAGGATAACAGAAGAGAAGAGAAGGAGGGAGAAAAAAAGAAGAGAGGAAGGGAAGGGAAGAACCAGCACCAGCTAACAGGTGAGCAGACTGACAGAACCCCTCCAAGTACTACTCAGTCATTAATCAAGAAGAAAAGAATAACAGAACTGGAAGGAAGACAGCAATTGAGAATAAATCAAAATGATCAACCTCTTCACTGGCTGGCCCAACCCCCAGCTGCTCCCTGTGGCCGACCTCGCCGCCGCCGCCAGCACGGTGTTTTCCACCCCCGCCATCTCGACCCCCGCCCTGCTCTACGGCCCTGATCCAGGCTACGAGCCTCTACGCGAGCATATTGCCACCTGGTTGACATCCTTCTATCGACCAAACGATGCTATCTCGGCTGACCGCATCTGTATCACGGGCGGCGCCAGCCAGAACCTCGCCTGTCTGCTGCAGGTCTTCTCGGACCCGGCCTACACGCAGGGCGTCTGGATGGTCGCGCCCACCTACTTTCTCGCCTGTCGCATCATGGATGATGCCGGGTTTGCAGGCAGACTGCATGCAGTGCCGGAGGATGCAGAGGGGATCGATATTGCGGCGTTGCGGAGGGGGTTACAGGAGGCACAGACGACAGATGAACCGGTACGGATATCTCGTCTCTCTTTCTCTCTCTCTCTCACACACACAAACTCTCTCTCTCTCTTAAGGTGTCTCTCTGATAGAATTTTAGTATAAAAAATCTCGCCCCTGGAGAAAGATCTACAGACATATCATCTACGCCACGCCCACCTTCTCCAACCCCTCGATGAAGGTCATGTCGCTACGACGCCGCGAGGAGCTCGTCCGTCTGGCGCGCGAGCACGACGCCCTGCTCATCACCGACGACGTTTACGATTTTCTGCAGTGGCCTGCTGCCTCTGCATCGGCTTCTCCCCTCTCGACCGCGGCTTTACCCCGCCTAGTTGATATCGACAGGTACCTCGACGGCGGGCCGAAAGACCAATACGGCCATGCCGTGAGCAACGGCAGCTTCAGTAAGCTGATCGGGCCGGGCGTGCGCACGGGCTGGGCGGAGGGAACGCCAAAACTGGCTTTTGGCCTTTCTCAAGCGTACACTCTTCTCTCTTACAATTATGTTTTTTGTTAATGGGTTTTTTGATTAGCTAACGTCATACTTTATATACTGATATAGAGGCTCCTCTCACTCCGGAGGCGCCCCCTCACACTTGACGGCAGCCATCGTCGACCAACTCGTTCAGGGAAATCTACAAGAGGTGATTGAGAAAACGCTGCAGCCCGCCCTGGCAGCACGGTATCATATCGCCATGGCGGCTGTCAAGGCCCACCTCCTCCCGTTAGGAGTGACATTACCCTCCTTTGCAGACGAGCAGTCTACACAAGCCGTTGCAGGCGGATACTTCATCTGGATCAAGCTGCCGTCACCGCTCCGGGCGGACGAGCTAGCAGCGCAAGCACTGGAAAAAGAAGAGGTGCGAGTTGCTGCTGGAACCCTCTTCCGCGTCGGCGGTGATGAGAAGCAGGAGAAAGTGGACGCGCAGAACGACTTTGCAGACTGTTTGCGCATCTGTTTTGCGTGGGAGGAGGAGCAGAAAATCGATGAGGGGATCAGACGCTTGGGTCGCCTCATCGCCAAGCTGACGGCTACTATCTGATCTTGATGGTACCTGAACGTACCATGGTTGGAGATAAACCAAAGTGTAATGATGTACCTCAGAATATTTCAATAGTTCTTTTGATCTATGTAGTAGTTCTATGCTATTTACAATGTTGAATGTACTAACTAGATGCTACATATGTAGCAATGCGTAGTCTGGAGGCAGTGACGATCTGCCGATCACCAATAGTGCCGTGGGTAGTTATCTATAGTTGTCAGAATACCGAACAATAGCAGACTCAGGCTGACTATCTGCCATTCAGGTCGAGTCTAGAGTGTAAAAGACATTCCATTCCATGGAATGACGTCTGCATTCCGACGGCCCGGTATCTCGCTCCATCCCTGTCTACCGGCTCGTGGACAGGGGGGAAATACCTCCAGGTGCCATGGGAACGAGCGGTGTCTATATATCACAAGAGTCCGGATGTAGGGTAGACTAGTTGATGAGCTGAATAGAGATATTACCGTGGTTTGACTGTGCTTCGCCTTGACCGTGCGAGTTCAGGGACCTGTTCTATTCCCTCCGTGGCTACTGTCAGCATAATCAAACCCCAGCCAAAAAAGGACTCACGTGTAATCGGGTTTAATTTCCACATCGCCCAATCTCATGCTGAGTCCTCCATTATTCCTCCTGCCATCCTGTTGACTCCTGGCGTTGTGCGTTTCAGCTTGCGTGGTGTGGCCAACAGGAGAGAAAATCGCCTGGCGTAGGCGTTTCACGAGATCGCCGGGCGGTTCCCGATTCGGCAAGTGGTTTTTCTCCCTCCCTGACTTTTGAACCTCCTTCAGCCTCCATTCTTGCTTCATTCTTTCTTCCTTGTGTGTGTGTTTGTGTCTTGGGTAGTTGTTCTTATTGTTCATTCACTCTTTTCATTCTCATTGTCTGTCATTCATTCATTTCATCCATTGTTTATTGTCTAGTATTCATTGTATCCACTCCACTTGTCCTGTATACGCACCTGCCCTGGATACTGCTTTTTTTTGCCTTGAAATCTTGTCCTGGAATACCTGGTTTCCCCCTTGACAATCTTCTCTGTCTTGGTTGATTTCCGTACCAGACTCTCTGCTGTTTGATATACAGGCTATCGCGCGCAACTTGCTGCAGTACTGGTTGCTGCAGCCGCTCTGCTGGTCCAGAATATAACACCCAACAAACATATAAAACGCAAGGAAAACCACGTCAGCGGAAGGACCCCAAGATGTTCTCATCAGTTGTTGGAGTTGTCCTCCACATCCTCTTCCTGCTCGTGCTGCGTGTCGACGCTGTCCCGGTGGCTGGAGCCAGCGCGTCCGTGTCGGCTGCCTTCTCGTCTGCCTCTTCGGCGTCCTCGTCGAGCTACTGGGTTGGCTCGATCAAGCGTCAGGGCACGATTCCGTTTGGAAACAATACGAGCTATCAGATATACCGCAATGTAAAGGACTTTGGGGCTACAGGTGGGTTTTTGGAGCGGGGGAAATAGTGAAACTAGAGGTGATGAATGCTGACTCGAACTATAGGCGACGGTTCCACCGATGATACTGATGCCATCAATAAGGCTATTTCCTCCGGCGGTCGCTGCGGAGAGGGCTGCGACTCGTCAACGACAACACCCGCGTTGGTCTACTTCCCTCCAGGGACGTATCTGGTCTCCAAGCCCATTGTGCAGTACTACTACACTCAGATGGTTGGTGACGCCAACGACCTGCCCGTGCTCAAGGCGGCTGCCAGCTTCACTGGTATGGCCGTGATCGACTCTGATCCGTACGAAACCGACGGGAGCAACTGGTACACCAACCAGAACAACTTCTTCCGTGCCATCCGCAACTTTGTGATCGATCTCACCGCGATGCCCGAGAGCGCCGGCGCTGGCATCCACTGGCAGGTCGGCCAGGCCACTAGCCTGCAGAATATCCGCTTCGAAATGATCCAGGGTGGCGGCAGTGCTAACAAGCAGGAGGGAATCTTCATGGACAACGGCTCTGGAGGCTTCATGTCCGATCTGACCTTCAACGGCGGCAATTACGGCATGTTCCTCGGCAACCAGCAGTTCACCACTCGTAATCTCACCTTCAACAATTGCAATACTGCCATCTACATGAACTGGGATTGGGCCTGGACCTTCAAGTCCGTCACCGTCAACAACTGCGGCGTCGGTATCAACATGTCCACTTCCCCTTCCAACCAGACCGTTGGCTCTGTCCTCCTGCTGGATAGCACCATCGATGCGACTACCGCCGGTATTGTCACAGCTTTCACCAGTGACAGTATCCCTGTCGGTGGTGGTGTCCTCGTCCTGGACAATGTCGACTTCACCTCCTCGTCGGTCGCCGTCGCCGGCATATCTGGTAACACCATCCTGGCCGGTGGCTCCGTAGTGGAGAACTGGGTTCAGGGTGATGTATACACTTCGTCTTCCGGTGCCACCAAACGGTCCGCTCCTCTGCAGCGCCGCGAGATTATCGAGGTCGAGGTGATTGAGTATGAGATCATCGAAGAGTGCCCCGACTCTGGTTGTAGCCAGGCGACTTCAGCCTCAACCTCTGGAACGGAGAGCCGCTTCCCCTTCGCTACCGTCCCCGTGGCCGTGCCGACAGTCAACATTGCTGTGACTATTGGCAGCGGCAGTGAACACTCTGGTGGTGCTGCGACCAGCTCCAAATCCACCGCTACAGCCGTCGTCGCCGTCGATTCCTCGTCATCAACCACTACAAGTGTCATTGGTGTGGCGTCTTCTCATGCTGCGGGCGTGGCCGGGTCCTTATCGCACCAACATGCGACTGTCGCTTCCTCCTCTGCTGTCTTTGGGACTGCGGGCGAAGCGTCTTGCGCGGCCAAGACGGTTACCCGGACCCGCGTCCAGACGACCATGCCGACACAGGCCAAACCATCGTCCCTCCTCACAAGCAGCGGCAAGATCTACGAGCGCTCTAAGCCTCTGTATGAAAGCTATCCGGCCTCTTCTTTTGTCAGTGTCAAGTCAGCAGGCGCCAAGGGCGACGGTACTACCGATGACACGGCGGTCCTGCAGAAGGTTTTCGATAGTGTCACCGAGGACCAGATTGTTTACTTTGACCATGGTGCCTACATCATCACCTCCACCCTCAAGGTGCCCAAGAACATCAAGATCACCGGTGAGGTGTGGCCTATGCTGATGGCGTATGGAGACAAATTCGCCGATGAGAAGAACCCCATCCCCATGCTGCAGATTGGAGAGAGTGGCGAGGTCGGCTCTGTCGAGCTTTCTGACCTGATCTTGGAGACCAAGGGCCCTGCTCCCGGCGCCATCCTGATGCAGTGGAATCTGGCTGCGGAGACGCAGGGTTCAGCCGGCATGTGGGATGTGCACACCCGTCTTGGAGGCTCCGCCGGCACGGAGCTGCAGAGCAACACCTGCCCGAAGACACCGTCTACGACTACCACGCCCAACCCGGATTGCATCGCCGCCTTCCTGATGTTCCACCTGACGGCTAACGCGAGCGCATATGTGGAGAACGCGTGGTTCTGGACCGCCGACCACGAGCTCGATCTGTCCGACCATAGCCAGATCGATGTGTACACGGGTCGCGGCGTCCTCGTGGAGAGCACGAACGCCGTGTGGCTTTATGGCACCGCAGCGGAGCACAACCAGCTGTACAACTACCAGGTGTCCGGAGCAAAGAACGTGTTCATGGGCTTGATCCAAACGGAGACTCCGTACTACCAGTCCAACCCGGACGCGCTCACCCCGTTCACACCGCAGACGTCGTGGGCCGATCCCGACTTTTCCACATGCACGACCGCCTCATGTCGCAAGTCCTGGGGGCTGCGTGTCCTCGACACCACCGACTTGTGGGTGTACGGCGCGGGCTTGTACAGCTTCTTCGATAACTACAGCCAGACGTGCCTGGACACGGAGTCGTGCCAGGAGAACATCGTGCAGGTCGACTGCTCGGAGGTGTATCTGTACGGGCTCAGCACCAAGGCCAGCACCAACATGATCACCTCATCGTCTGGAGAGGCTCTGGTCCTGCAGGACGAAAACGAGAGTACCTACTGCTCCACCATTGCGTTTTTCGAGCAATAGTTTAGTAAATATAGATAGACAATAGAACTTCTTTCATATCTCTATCCCATTCCATTAAGAAAAAATCAATTCCTACATCTATCCAACTCCACGCATATTGAGTATTTACAACTCCTTCTTCAAGGAATGCTCGGGCTTATGTGTCGTCTCGTAGTCGACATGGACATACGCGCGCTCCACATCCGGCAGACTCTCGAGTTTCATCTGTAGCTCCTCGGCGACGTCGTGCGTGGCGCGCAGTGTGGCCTCGGGATCCATGACGATGTCGACCTCGACGACGAGACGGGGGCCGGACGTGTAGGCGCGGACCGTGTCGATGGCTGTTATCAGGGGGGAGTGAGTCATTGCTGATTCGTTAGCTTTATTCTTTATTCTCCTTCTTTATTCATTGTTTCAAGCATTGTATATTCTGGGTAATTGGTTGATGAGTGAGAGCTTACCGATATATGTGATGAGTTGTTGCATGTGGATGTCTGCGGTGACGCCGATGAGGAGTTGGAATTCGCCGTAGGCGGTACGCAGCCAAAGACAGCTGATGAGGACGGAGAGGAGGATGGCGCCCATGGGATCGATCCACCAGCGGAGCTTACTGCCGCCGACGGAGGTGAGGATACCGAAGCCGTTGATGAGGAGGTCGTTGCGGTGGTCCTCCCAGAGGATGCGGATCTGGGAGACCTGGTTGCGTAGCGCCCAGCAGTAGGCGAAGAGGGCAAATTTGGTGGAGAAGGCCACCACCACGGCGAGGATGGAGGGGAGGTGGAAGGTGTCCGTGTCGGCGGAGCGGCCCTCGGAGAGCTCGCGGCCGGAGAAGGCGATGAGGATGAAGGAGACGGAGGTCATGAGGAAGCAGAAGCAGATGTTGCCGGCCGTCTCGATGCGGGCTTTGCCCGCGGGGAACTTGCGCGGGTCGACGCGGTTGACCGCTTTGTTGGACAGGAGCAGCGTCAGGTTCGACATGGGATCAAACACCGCGTCCGCCATGGTGGTGAACAGCGACAGCGAGCCCGACGACGCCGCCGCGTACACCTGCAGCACGCACAGCAGCACGTTGGCCACGAAGCTGCCCCACACCGCGATCCGGTACTTCAGCTGGTTGTTGCTGTTGAGCTCCCGCGCCGCCCGCACATGCTCTTCCACGGGCTTCAGCATCCGCTCGATCGTCTCGTTCTGCGACTGGTAGAAGCCCTGCAGCCGTTTCGTCGACTGGGCCGCCTGGCCGGGCGCCATCGCTATCGGGTTGCATACTCCCGTCCGCTTCCGTGACGTGTTGGCCTCGATCTTCTCGATCTCTTGCGGCGTCTTCAGTTTCGACGCCAGCTGGAACGGGTCGTTATCCATCGAGTACCGCGGCGGTAGCTGACCCTCCTCATCGCTGCCGGGGATCACTCGATGCTGTGTAGCATTATCGGTGGCCTCGATTGCCGTACTCGTCGCTTCGTTCAAACCCAGGCTCGTCGTCGTCTTCGAGGGGGTATCAGGCCGGTGCGGGTGAAGATGAAAGGGATGCGGATGCATCGAAATGCTGTGCCGAATCGATTCGTCGCCCATTTTGACAATGAAGCAAGCTGAGTCCTATCCAGATTCGTCGTTGCCTCCGTCGTAGATGCGTAGAACTGCTAGTTATATAGACCCCTAGATCTTCCAAGTCTTTTGTCGTTAAGGTTTCTGGGCGGTAACTCTTTGCAGTCTAGTCCTATCTGAAGTGGGATTGCACTGCCACAATATGTGTTCAGAGTAAGGCTTCTTCTGCAACTGATCAGCAAAAATAACGCATCCGTTGACTCGGTACTGCGGAGACTTCTCTCTGCTCACCAAGTCGAGAGTTGTTGAATCTGTACAGGTACGATTGAAGTCGGCGTTGAGTTCCAATGGGCGCTGCTGTCACTGGCCGTCGCCGATTGGTGGATTAGATAAGCCACTTTTCATACGATGATTTTGATTGGCCACTGGCAATTTTACCGGAAGGGAAGGAGCGGGCAAATCACATGACCTCATGGATTATCACGTGATGTCGTACATGTGACCTGTGAAGGTCGACTGAACGACGCTGAAGAGAAGACGACGTCTCCGATTGATTCTCACTCTCTTGAATCGAACGAGTTGGAATCGTCGGGGTTCAGAGAAGATACAGTGCGTGCAACTCGTTGTTTCATGTCTATAGAGACCCAACAATTAGTGCTGGCCGGAATAAATTGACGTTGTTTCATCAACATGGGGGCTTTCGCTTGGTTTGGAGGACTGCTTGTTGACGGATGCTGACGCTTCTAGGACCTCAATGCCCAGATGAGCCACCGAGTATCCATCGTTTTACCTGTCGAAAATTAAGACCCGAGGGTTAATGATACCGATTCTTCGCAACAATGCGTCGTGTTGTAGAAATGTTCGGCAAGCCACAAGCCGGAAGGTCTCAATAAAGATGAAACAAGGGCCTCAGGGGAACGCTCTGGATAGGCGCCCTCGATGACAGCAACGCTGCGAAACAATCCAGATCCGCCCAGTATCCAGTTCATTATTATTGCCTGGGGCGTCAGGCTTGATGGCTCCAGAACTATCGAGTTAGGAGCCCGTCTGGGTCAAGGTCATCTCCCGTACTGTCGGGCCATTGGTGGCATTTCCTCACAGGGTCGAGCGAATCTCCTCTAAGTCCTCTTCGCCGCGGCAATTTTGCTGCAGCTACATCATCCTGCCCTATCCTAGAGGCCGGTTTTTAATGTTTCATGCAGGGCTTGTCTCACGTACATGGACTGTCGGTATCGAGTATACTGCGATGGAGACCATTGCGTTCGTCGTTGGAGAGGGCCAACACCCACTGTACTCCATATATATTCTCATCCTTATGGTCGCTCTTCTTTTTTTGACTCTTCTTTCTTGTTTTCCAGTATAGGCTTGTCCTTTTCTGCTTTCTCTTCTCTCCGGTCTGTGACCGTCACATTCCTTTCTTGACCGTCCCTCTTTATTTTACTTGTCCAGGTACTGGTATACCTGGGAAGACACTTGAAATTCAATTCAATTCAATTCTACAATCCTTCTTTTCATCTTTTCCATTCTCCCAGCCATTCAAAATGAAGTACTCTAGCGCTGTCTTGACCTTGAGCGGTCTTGTCACTCTCGTCCACGGCCATGGTTTCGTTACCAGCCCTCAGGCCCGTATGCCTGGCGCCGCCATGGAGGCTGCCTGTGGCACGCAAATCTACGATAACCAGGAGGCCGACAACTACGGCAACATTCAGGGCGAGCTGCAGGTGGCTGACAGCACTTACAACGCCACTGCCTGCGACATCTGGCTCTGCAAGGGTTACAAGTACGAAGATAACACCGACAACGTCTACACCTACTCTGCCGGCGAGGTGATCCCCTTTGTCGTCGACATCCGGGCCCCCCACACAGGCACCGCCAACGTCTCCATCGTCAAGACATCCACCGACACCATGATCAGCTCCATTCTCAAGTACTGGTCTGTCTATGCGTCAGTCTCGACCACGATCCCTTACAACAACACCAACTTCAATATCACCATGCCCGATGACCTGGGCGACGAGTGTACCACCGGAGGTGAATGTGTTATCCAGTGGTTCTGGAACGCCGAGTCGATCGACCAGACCTATGAGTCCTGCATTGACTTCACCCTCTCCGGGTCGGGCTCCTCCTCGTCCTCCTCCTCTTCATCCTCCTCCGGCTCCTCCAGCGTCAGCGTCGCCTCCGCCGCTGCTTCCACCGTAGCGACCGATGCAGTGGTTGCTTCTTCGGCCTCTCCTGCGGATTCCGCTTCCACAACTGCTGCCGCTTCTGTTGAGAGCATCTCTTCTGCCCCCGCTGCAGCTGCTGAACCGGCTACTTCTTCTGCTGCTGCTGTTGTTGTCTCTGTCGATGCCTCGTCTGCTGCGGGTACTACTACTTCTGCTGCTGCTGTCATCGTGCAAGCCAGCTCCTCCAGCTCTGCCAAAACCAAGCATACCGCCTGCCCTGCCAGCAAGAACAAGAAGAAGAACAAGGCCTCTTCTACCGCCGCCCAGGCGTCTAGCACTCAACCCACCACCCTGGCGACGGTCGTCAAACAAGCCTATACCACTTCTGCAGCCGCAGCCGCGGGGGCCTCTACACCTTCTGCTGAGGCCAGCTCGGGTTCCACCTCGGGTTCCACCTCCCCAAGCACGACCGTCAGCTCTAGTTCCAGCTCCAGCGGCTCGGCCGTCGCAATGCCAACTGGCAGCCCTACCCAGATGCTCACTTGGATTTCGGCCCTTCTCAAAACCATCCTGAACTACGACAACTGATGTGTAGGGTATGGTTGGGAATTTTTCCCGGACAATTTATTGAGTTAGCAGAATCCAAGCCAATTATCAGGATTGAGTACCTCTAGTAACAGCCAAGTAGGCAAGTTTCAACTTTGTAGAAGGATTTTAAAGCCTTTAGTAAAATACTTATGAAACCACTCTCGTTGACTAGGGATATATCTACAGCTTACTTATATCATTGAGAATAACTGAAACAGGATACTGTTCATTAAGGAATGAAAAATAGATACATAGGTATAAAGAAATGAATTAGTAATGACGGTGTGTGCAGGCCAAGAGCCATTCATGGCATGATCTCTATGGACATATAGTAATATGAACAAGAGATGAAAGGATCGAAAAAATTAAAAGTAAAGAGAGTAACTAAAAGAAAGGAAAGAAAGAAAGAAAGAAAGATAGAAAAAAGGTATCTACCAGGTAAAAGCTTCCTCGAAAAAGTCCACGACGGCACCCTTACCGATACGGCTACGAGCGGCGACGCGGACCTCGTCTGCAAAGGCGCCCGGCCCGCAGACGGAGACAGCGACGGCGCCGACACGCTGCGAGATGAATTCGTCGAGGACGACGTCCGGGCGACAGCGGCCGGGGAACATCTGCACGCTGGCGCTTGGGGAGGTGATCTCGCGGCTGCTCTTGGGCTTGGAGACGAAGAGCTTGATGGTCAGGACCTCGCGGCGGTTGGGCAGGCGCAGGATCGAGTCCATGTACTCGCGCACCCAGGACAGATGGTCCGTGTTGCGCACCGACCAGACCAGGCAGATCTTGCGGGTCGCGACGCGGCCCTCTGCCGCCCGGATAAGGAGATCCCGCACGTGCAGCATGTGGTGCGTGATGCCTGCGCCGGCGGAGAAGAGCACGGCGGTGCCGTAGCTGCCGAACGAGGACGGGTGAGACTGGTACGGGCCCTCGATGGCGCCGGAGATGTACAGGGTTCGCTTCGGGGCCGCTAGGGCAGTGTTGTACAGTTTGCGGGTCATGCCTTGGCGGGCCCCGACGATGAGCGATACCGACGTCGGTTTCTGGCTGGCTTTCAAGGGGAAGCCGTCTAGATCGTATAGCGTCTGCTTCTCGAGATCCAGGGGGCTTTGCGCGGGCGAGGACGACGATGAGGACGAGGACGATTGGGCTGGGTAAGCGAAATCGGTCACACAGTCACCGGGCTCCACCCAGGCCACCGAGAAAGGGTGGGACATCCACTTCGAGATGCTCGGGATGTAGGCGTAGACATGGCAGCCCGGGTCGAAGTGAACACGCTTCGGGAGGTGGTAGGTCACTCGGCAGGCTTCGCCGGGCAACGCTTCAACGACGAGGCGAGTGGTTCCGTTCCTGAACGAGAAGTTGAGGTAGATTAGCCGTAACAGCCGAGCGGTGCGATCGAAGATCCAAATCCCGGCGATGGCCTGAAACCAAGGAATCTGCGGCAGGTCGTCGAGCTTCAAGTGCAGGTAGATGCCGACGCACGCCAATAAAGCGGCAAGCTGGTGCAGGTGCAAAAACGTCTCGTAGAATGCATGCCGGATCGGCGACAGAGAATGGCAGACAAGGAAGACCAAGCCACAGGTTCCCACCATCCCCCAGAAGAAGAACGGGGTATCGGCCAGACGCTGGAGCATGGCCTCGAAACTCTGTTCGTCGATGGCATTGACAGCCCAAGCGACGGTGTGCACTACCGATTCCACCATAACGATTCTCCCGAGCCAGCGGTGAAGCAGGTTGTAGGTATCAAAGCTAACGTGCAAGAGGGAAATAAGTGGGTTATTGCGTCCAGCGAGGATGAACAGAGGAACCATGTTCAGAACGGCCAGAACGCCAGACCGTCCACGGAGCTCGGCCCACAGCGCGGCTTTCGAGTTCTCGCTGTAGTTCAAATAGCAACAGTAAACGATTTGGCTGACGATGTACAGCAGAAGCAGAATGCTGTGGAATCTCGACGGCAGAGTGCCCATGTTCAGCGCGGATGAAAGCTGCATCTCCCGGTTGTGTCTCTTGTTGCCCAAGGGAGCATACAGCACATGTTTCTTCAGGTTTGCCCACAAATAGGAGGTTTCGATGCTCCAGAAGGTCTGGTATTTTCTGGTCGCCGTCAAGGACGAGATCTGGCGGAGATACGCATGGCTGACCTGAGCAACACGACCGCAGAGGATGACCATCGCGGCGACAAGGATGGAGCCGAGGATGATCCAGGAAATTAAGTCATCTTCGGAAACATTGACGCCTCCGAGACCACGAGAATAATAGTAAATGTATGTAGCGTTCGTCCCGTAGGATCGAGGCGCGAGGCGCCCAGTGAGGTCTTCCATCGAGGTCGATGCAAGATTCGGGATGAGATACCCGGTTGGAAAAGGCAAGGATATGTACGTATTGGACTTTGAACGAAGCGTCTTTGACAAGCGGCGACGTCACGAAGTGGAATGTGCCAACGGAGAGTAGCAGGAATGCAGTGGTGGTGGGGGAACGACAGGAATGCGTAGTTCGAGAGGCTCGAAGTTGAAGAACGACAGAATAGCTTTGTCAGGAGGAGAGACGAGATAATGGCAAAGAGCCAGGCTGTCAATGAAACAAGGTTTTTTTGTCTTGTCTTTGTGTGTTTTCAATTTGAGATCAATAGCTATTGTCTCCAGGAGACAAGAGGTCCGGACCCTTTCACTCCACTGTCAAAGCTGTCAAAAAAGAAGCATGCAGAAGACCACAATGCCACAAGTTTCATATACTAGAGTAATTGATATTAGTGATTATTCCCCTAGAGAGAGAGTTGTATGTATGCCAGCTACCTCAATCCCCGAAAGGCTGCGATCAATAGAAAGACTGGATTTCCGTGGCTGATAGAAGCACGAGTGATGACGAAGAATGATATCCAGCAAGGGATACAGACTGAAACGATTGTTTCTGTATCTTTTTCTTTTCCTTTTCCTTTTCAGGGCTTGCTGAGAGCAAGAAGTGTCTGCCAAGATTTCTATAATCGCTGGCTATATAGAGATGGAATAGTCATGCACCTCAACAGAATGAGTGAATAGAGCCAAAATGATAATAATGTCAAAAATTAAGGTTAATAGCTAGACCAGCTGCTAAAAATGAATGTGATGTCAAAAAAAAAAAAACGAAACAAGCCAAGATTGAAGGGAAAAATCTTGGATGGGAGGAGAGTTTAAAGCATCAGGAGACAGCTAAGACTGCCATCGATCAAACTCCTCATGGCACTATACACTGCATACTCCGTACACCTTTTCGAGGGCGATATAGCCCCCCAGGAATAACATGTTTGAGCTTGAGACGTACGGAGTATACATCTCTAGCGAAGATTTGGCCTGGCGCTTGCGAGGTTGTCACGCCGAGCCTTCGTCCGGCCTATCGGCGTGACTCCCAAAGAGCATCGTCGTTTTCGATCCAGCCATGTCGGTCCACTCGATATAGCATCCTCTTATATGCAGACAAGCTTCTGTCAGGGACCCTTGCCGATCTCGGTCAAACCTCGTCACGCATCTTCGGACGCTGGAACACGACTGACACAGCGTTATCTACCCCGTACCCTAAACCTGCTGGTTGGTCTCTTCCCGACAGTCCATGCTTGCTTTTTGTCGAGACTTATGCCGGAGTTGATCCCCCATCACACGGCCGTTCTTCTTTTCACTAGATTGCATTGGTTAGTGTGTAGCCATGTGTTTCACGCTCCACAAGAATCGGCTACGCGCTGAAACGAGTCAAACGGCCGACTGGTCAGGCTCGAATTGGCCTCCGTAGTGGAGAAACCCCATCAAGGAGTTAAAAAAAAAAAACAGAAGCTCGGTCCAGTCGATCTAGTGAAACAGACGAGCGAGCTCGAGGGGAGTTGTGGGAGAAGAAAAAAACAAACCCAGCCGGGAGAGTCGAGAGTCGAGGGTTTCACCTGATCTGGCACGTGAGCGCACTTGACCTGACCGAGAATAGTCTGTCTTCATCACCAGGGAGCATTAATTAATCTCCATCACCCAGTGTTGAAGATGCGACATGCTAGCCTGGTCGGTTCCTGGAGACTGGGGGTTTCTATTTTCGTCGAGATGGAGCTATTGATACTGGATTCCGACCCGGTCCACCCCAGGTGAGTTGCAGTTACGAACAGGTAGGTCCCTCGTCCCTCGTGGGCCATGGCAGCTGTGGAGTGAGCAATACTGGTTGACTGTCTCATCTTCCAAGAATAGGTCGAGGTTCAATACATTCCGTGAACTGGTTATCAAGGGTCCACCTGCTGGCGGTTAACCCGTATTATCTACCTATGAACTACCCCAGATACCACGGTCCCTGCGTCTGAAGTTACGAGACTCATGAGACACGACGTCATTCTGCATACTACTTTATCTACAGATGAAAATGAAAAATCTATGCTGTACTCTAAAGAAAAAAGTGGGAGGAATAATAATTTGATCAATGTATGGCTTCTTTTTCAGCCGCGTTGCTGCCGTGTAGTATGTACATAAAAAATCTATATATGGATGAGCATGACACAAGACTAACCCATTAGGCTGTCTCAAGCCCGTGCAATATTCGTATCTCTCATGGGGAAGAGGGGGGGGGGGGGGGGGGCGGAGGACTTCTGTAATCATACGATCTTTGCCAGACCCCTTTTTATTTCTTCGAATTTCTCTTTTACCGACCCATCCAGCCACCGTCGACACACAGAATATCTCCTGAAACATAGGCGCTAGCCGGGCTAGCCAGATAGACGACCGTCCCCTTGAAATCTTCGGGAGTGCCCCATCGGCCAGCAGGGATGCGGGCCATGATCCCAGCGTTCCGGTTCTGGTCGTTGATAAGAGCAGTGTTCATGTCCGTGGCGATGTAGCCCGGGGCGATCGCATTGACGTTGATGCCCTTGGCGATCCATTCGTTGGACAGGGCCTTGGTCAGCTGTGCGATACCTCCCTTGGATGCAGCGTAGGCAGGCACCGTGATACCACCCTGGAAGGAGAGAAGAGAAGCGACGTTGATGATGGAACCGCGACGGCCGGTAGGGAATTCAGACGCATCGCGAGCCAGCAGGTAGGCGCCAAATTCACGGCACAGAGCAAAGACCGACGACAGGTTGACCTCGAGGACCTACATATTCCCAAACAATACCCGAATCAGACTGTGGTTGGTGATACGAATGAAAAAAAAAAAGAAAGAAAGAAAGAAAGAAAGAAAGAAAGAAAGCAAGACAAAACACCCCCGACTCACCTCATCCCAGTCCTCATCCGGGAACTTTTCGCTCGGATGTCTTCTTTGGATTCCAGCACAGGTCAACAGGATCTGGGGCTTGATCCCCTGCTTCACTACCGCGGGAATAATGGCTTTGACGGATTCGCGATTCGTCAGCTCTGCAACATGGATCCAAGCCTTTCGGCCGATCCGGTTGATGATCTCATCCCGGGTAGCGGTGTTCGACTCGTCTCTCTGTATAGCAACGGCACAGATGACAGTCAGCGACTCCTGTTCCGAAACAAAGCCGTTGCCCCCAATGAAACAGGCCGACTCACCTGGACCAGCACAATGTCTGCCCCAGCCTCAGCAAGGGCAATGGCCATGGCCTGCCCGATCCCCCGCGTGCCGCCAGTGACCACGGCGGTCTGTCCGCTGAGGGAGAACAGAGAAGTAACGGAAGCTGACATATTCTTTACTGTATCTAATCTCGTCTCCCGATGCTCTTTGAATGCAAATCAACCGAGCAATGCGGGTTGAAGACACTCCCACGTTATAAAGCAACTTCTCAATACCCGACCGAGCAGACCCCTCACGTCACGAGACAAAACAACCCCCCTCAACGCTTTACCCCTCGCGGTGCGGGGCGACCGCCTAACAAAAGTTCCGTTGCCGAGTTGGCTGTCACTTTTAATAGCCGATAGTGGGTACGACATAGAGTGATCGGCTATTGCCCGATAATGACGTTGACTCGGCCCGAGAGAATTACAGGGCCCTGCATATGTAAGAAACTCTAGTAGTAAGCAGTAGCAGAGTACATTAGAAGTTCTGCCTATAAGTTACTCCGTACACATATACTAGGTACATATACTCCGTAGTAATGCGTCATATCCTAGTGCCGATCAATATTTAAGGCGAGTGAGTTATCTAACTACAGAATAGTATACCTCCACATATAGTTAACTACTATATAATTACTGGTAACTACTAGGTAGTACCTATTGTAGCAATACTCAGATAAGACTAATTGATCAGTTTATTAGCAACCATAACATGACATCAGATACAACTTATTCTCTCTCATAGTAAGGAGCTATTTCACTGACACATAATGCCCAAGACAGGTAGAGGAGTATAACTACCTAGGTACCTAGGTACCTACCTGGTACCCCTCCTATACTCCCCAAAATGGACTAGTTCACCCCGTGATTGCTTACTCAGCTCGCATTCGGTCTAAGCCTCTTCTAGCGCAACGTGTGGGGAAGGAGCCCAATCAGGTGGTCTTCCCGATCGGGTCTGGAGCTTCTCCCAAAATTGCACCGCCAAAAGTCCCAACTGACTCAACGCAACTCGGCTGAACTTCAGATCCTCCTCCGCCACACCGTGAGATCCTCCTGTCCTCTGCCAACGCCCATGACGCCGTTCAGATCGTGTCGTTTGTACATCTGAACCTCCGAGCCTGTCCGGCTGGCTCTCCTCCGATAGGACAGACCGCCGATAGCCCGCACTGCTGCTCCACCAGGACGGGAGTCCGCCGCATGACTCCTGGGTGACAATGCCTCGTCGGCATCGCTTGAGCATAAATCTTGTATAGTGGGCGTGTGTGCGCTGTGAGAATGGAGGCTGAGGGTTATGTCTCGGATCCGGGGAGGGAGGCGGACATGCCCAAGACCAAGTCGAAGCGTGTGTCGAAGGCCTGTCTGCACTGTCGACAACGCAAGTCCAAATGTGACCTGTAAGTTGATCGGTGCCGTTCTCTTCATTCTATCATTCCTCTAATGGTGTTCTTTCTTTCTTTTTTTTTTTTAATATAGGGACAGTAGCGGTAGTCCTGGTGTACCCCCATGCCAACGATGCATCCGTGAGCATCGCGAATGCGTGCTTGGTACTTCCAACCGAGGCGGACGACGCATCCGAAAGGACAAAATCAAAAGTATCATATCCAGAAACAACAACAACGGCAGCAGCAGCAACATCATAGCGACCCCGAAAACATCGGATCTGGATGTGTCGAGTCCATCGACGACGGAGAAGCGCCCAGGAGGAAGCTCGGCCAGCTATCGCACTCCGGTGGGTTTTATGGCCCACAATCCATCAACCACCACAGCCTCGGTGTCCGTCGACGACGAGGACTCGACTCCGATCGAGTCTGTCCCCCGCAATCCGTCCGATGCCTGGCAGTGCTTGACGGGGATTGCCAAGGGGGGCCCCGATGGCGCGCAACCGACAGAGGGCTTGTCTGAACATTTACAACCGGGGGCCCTCGATGGTACCCCATACAATGGCCTCCCCAACGGGACGGTAACCGAGTTCAAATCGAACCATGGGATCAGGGCGTACAGGCTCGTCCAGAACGGCTCCCTGGATCCAGGCACGGTGTGGCAGCTGGTCCACCGGTATGCCGAGAACTTTCATCCCTACCTACCGCTCGTGCCCCGCAAATACTTTGACCGCAACGCCTTGGACACCTTTGCCAGCAATGAAAAGCATCTGCTCACAGCCGTGCTCACCATTGCCTCCAAGGACCTGGAGCGACAGGACATCCACGAGTACTGTTCCAAATACATGCACGAGCTCATTTCGGGCATTGCCGCGGGCGCCGACTGCGACGTCGAGGCGGTGGAGGCCCTGCTCCTCCTCGCAGAATGGGAGCCCCAGGGTCTGCGGTCGCGCGTCGAGAGCGTGGGCCGCGGCGAGGAGGACCGCGCGGCGTGGATGCACGTTGGCCTCGCGTTGCGATCCGGCTACTTCCTCGGCCTCGATCGGACCTCCTTCCGCGGCGACGGCTCGGGCGACCTCGAGCTGGAGGCGCGCAAACGACTCGCCTGGACGAGCTGCTACATCTCCGACCGTCTGATCTCCGTCCGAATCGGCCGAGCCTTCTGGTCGCGCGGCCCAGGCCCCATGACGGGTCTGGTCAGCCAGGATTTCCCGTCCCTGCAGCCCGTCAAAGAGGGCGATGAGGATTACGCCCGCATCTTCCAGGCCCTCCTGGATCTCACCCAGCTGTACGGCAATGTACATGATATCCTCTACTCGGGCATGCGCACGAGCAATCAGATGATGCTCATGGGCGATTATGTCAAGTACGTGGACGATTTCCGACTGGCGATCCTACGTTGGAAGTCCAAATGGGGCTCACTGGACTGTACGAACTCCCTGGCTGAGTGAGTGATAGGGTTGGCTACTTGTATCAGTTGACTGACACAATGGATTTCCTAGGTTCTCCGCCCATACAGGTCACATTAAAGATGTCGTACGAATACCTGCGGCTGTACACAAACGCATTCGCCTTCCAGGCGACCATCTCGCAATCCCTAGTCTCCAAACCGCATGCCAATTCCCAGTCGCAAAGGGAACATCTGAAGACGATGTTCAGCAACCTGGCCTCCATGCAGGACGCGCGCTTCATCTTTGAATCCATCGACGCTGCCAAGGCGTACCTGTCCATCCTGGTCGACACCGTCGATCCAGAGAAACACCTGCACTTTATGCCGCTTCGATTCTATCTGTACGGCATCTACGCCGCCGTGTTTTTGTACAAGGTAGGCCTACCCTACTAGTTACTCCACTGTACATTCTTCCAATGCTGATTGAAAAAAAAAATGATTAGGCCCGCTCCTTTGGCGTATTACATTCCGAAGAATTCCAGCTCCGCGACCTGATCACCCGGATGACCGAGGTGCTGCATCGCGCCAGCACAGGCCCGGACGACATTGGCGCCCGGTATGCGCGCCTGCTCGAGCTGCTGTGGAAGGTGAAAGCCGTGAACACCGCGTCGCCGGCGAGCACCCACAAAAGCAACCCCGGCGGGAATAGAGCCAAGAACAATAGTATTAGTAGTAATGGCGATCTAGGGATGCACCACCACCACCACCAGCAACAACAACAGGCCTCTTCTTCTTCTGCTTCCTCCCTGGGCCGCACGACAGGAGAATACCCATACCTCAACTTCAGCCCGGCGAACGATTTCTCCTGGCTGGATCTCGAGGCCGTGGGCGACTTTGTCTCCGGCGACCAGATGCCCGGCGCTGGAATGTTAGGCTTCGAGACGTACATGAACATGAACCCGGACCCGTACGGCTCGGGTTCCGGCTCAAATCCTGACCGTGGGCAGTTGTGGCAGATGTCTTGGGTGGGGGATACCAATAGCTTGTTGTTTTAAAGCTATTTTTTTTCAATTTTTTTTTTCATGATCCCCATGACTCGGCTACGAAATGTACAAACGGATGGAAAAGAAGGGTGTATATATATGTATATATACTCCTGAATGTATGAATTTAATCATGTCTTTTTCTCTATGCACCGTCATAACTCATTAATTTATTTTAATTTGAACTGTACCCCCCACTCTAGCTTTCAATCACGACCTTGACGACCGGGCGACCGTCTTCGTCAACCCCCTTCCCGGCGAGCTGGAAAGCGCGGGCGCCCTCCTCGAGCGGGATGCGGTGGGTGACGACCTGGCTCTCGACGGCGGCCAGCTTGCCGGTGGCCATGAGCTCAATGGCAGCCGGGTAGGCGTAGCCGTCGTAGCGGAAGACGCCGATGAGGTCGACCTCGCGCAGGGCGGCGGCGCCGATGGGAAGAGTCTGCACGGGGTGGCCCATGCCGACCTGGACGAGTACACCGCCGGACGCAGAGGCGTAGATGCCTGCCTGGATGCAGGCGGGGACGCCCGTGCAGTCGTAGACACGGGCAAAGCCCACGTCCGCGACGCCGTGGGTGGTCTTGAGCGTGGCGGCGATGTTCTGGGCGTTGGTGAGCGCCCATGCGGTCTGCTCGGCTTGCGGTGCGTCACGCGGCGGCGGGGGAGGGCTGGCCGGGTCGGCGCGCGGTAGGAGCGCGGTCTGTAATCCCAGGCCGAGGGAGGAGGCGATGGCAAGGCGCGGCGCGTCAATGTCGGCGACGACAATAGTAGTGAAGTGCTGCGTGGTGGCCAGCGAGGCAGCCAGCAGCAAGCCGACGGCGCCCGCGCCAAAGACCAGGGCGGCGGTAGGCTCGCCCGCCGCGCGGGCGTCTTCCACCTCGGCGGCCGTGGGCGGGTGCGAGCGGCGCACGGCGTGCAGGCACACGGCGAGCGGCTCGATGAGGGCGCCGCCCGTGTTCGAGACGCTGTCCGGCAGCTTGTGGCACAGGTTCGCCGGGTGGTTCGTCACCTCCATCAGGGTGCCGTCAAGATGCGGGAACGTCTTCGCACTGCTGCGGAACATCATCCGCGGGCAGATGTTGTAGCGACCGGACCGGCAGCGCACACACTCACGACAGGGCAGACCGACCTCGAGCGCGACCCGATCGCCCACCTTCAGCGTCGTCACCTCAGGCCCAATGGCTGTGACGGTACCGGCCGACTCGTGGCCCAGACACATCGGCGCCCGTACAACGAAATCGCCATTACGCCCGTGGCTGTAGTAGTGCAGATCTGAGCCGCAGATGCCCGTCGCGCGCACCGCAACCTGGACGTCTGCTCCGGTAGGAGGGGAGACTGGCTTTGATTCCTGTTGAGTCACACCCAGTCAGCCTTCCTCTGAATCATGTCATGGAAGGCGGGGGGGAGGGGGGGTTGTTTACCAGTCGGAGATCATTGGCTCCGTGCAGGACGAGCGCTTTGGTAGTGGCCATGTTTATGGGAAATCGGATTCACAGCAACGTAACGATGGAACTGAAGACTCGAGAGACAGCTAGATTCAATCCCAGGCAACTCTTTTTGTAGAAATCTGACGGCATCGGCTTTCGCTTTCGGGTCGGCGGTTATTCCCAGCAACGGCCTGATTCCGGTCGGGAATTGAACCTGACAGGGGAACTTCTGGGGACGAAAAACCCCCCCACGCGAGCAATAGCCGGCCAAATTAACGTAGCTTGATGGATCATGCGGTTATTGGCACAGGGCCGTGTCGATTCCAGCAGAAGTATTTAGGGAATCCGCGCACACAGGAGGTGGCAAGGGTCCGATTGGGACGAGGATGGGTTTGCAGGCTGCTGGAAGGGCAGAGAAGACCTGAGTTTGTCAGACACAGCGGCTGAGCCATCGTCGACTCACCTAGCAAGGACAAAAATCGAAATCCGAGACAAAACGCATGGTGGGATGCGGAAGTCAGTCCGTTGCAGTCGAACAGGAGGAGGGGGAGGGGTGGAGGTGGTGACGGCAGGAGGGAAAACAGCGAGCAGCTGGAAAGCCGACGGTCTTGCTTCTTAGGAACTCGGAATTCTATCTATTTTAATTCATTATCTCTCTCTCTCTCTCTCTCTTTCTCTCTCTCTCTAATTATTTTCTCCTCTTTATTCCTCTCTGTCTGTCTATATTCTCATCATTCTTACCCCTCACTACGTCTGACATCATGCCCGCTCAAGCCGCCCTTTTAATCGGGGACATCACCCACGCTCGGAAGGAGTGGGAGGAGCTGTCCTCGATCTTGACTTTGAAGGTAAGCGACTACATGGGTTTAAGACTGGTTAATGCTCGCGCAGAGATGCTAATGTGGCGAGTAGACCTTCCCCGAGGGAACGCGGGCTCAGTTCCTGCAAAACTGCAAGGAGGGCCAGTACGACGATGTGGTGGCTATCTACCGGTCGAACGTGTCGACCAAGGTGAGCTGGACAGATAACAGATGCTAGAGATGGTTCATGCTGATCCATGGAAGTTCACTGGCCCCTTCGATGCGGAACTGGTTGCTGCTCTCCCCCAGTCGCTGAAATACATCTGCCACAATGGCGCCGGTTACGATAATATCGAGGTTCCTGCTTGCTCGCAGCGAGGTAGGCTCTAGGGCTGTGTGTTGAACGGACGAGGAGTTGTACTGATGCTTTCTTTCAAGGGATTGCCGTCTCCAGCACTCCAGTCGCCGTGAACAACGCTACGGCCGATGTCGGCATTTTTTTGATGATCGGGGCTTTGCGCCAGGCCTACGTCCCCCAGACAGCTATCAGAGAAGGTATGACGAGGAGATTATGTACTTGGGCCTGTTGGTGGATATAAAAAATTGACCCCATGAACAGGCAAGTTCCTTGGAGACAGCACACTCGGTCATGATCCTCGAGGCAAGATCCTTGGAATTCTGGGAATGGGTGGTATCGGTAGGGTAAGGGAAACATAAGGAGAATGAACACCCGAGTTGTCTGGATCCTCGCTGACAGTACAGGAAATGGCGATTCGCGCCAGGGCGTTTGGCATGAAGATCCGGTACCACAACCGCTCAAGACTACCGGAAGACCTCGAGGCTGGTGCTGAGTACGTCTCCTTCGATGAGCTGCTCGCGACGTCGGATGTCCTCAGTCTGAACCTCGCGTTGAACGCCTCGACGCGCCATATTATCGGCGAGCGCGAGTTCCAGAAGATGAAGGACGGGGTAGTCATCGTCAACACGGCCCGCGGCGCGCTGATTGACGAGAACGCACTGGTTGCTGCCATTGACTCGGGCAAGGTATGTTGAAAGAAGATGGCGTTGAGCGATATCCCCGATGCTTGAAGTTGCTAACCAGAACAGGTCCAATCCGCTGGTCTGGACGTCTACGAGCAGGAGCCCTCGGTCCACCCAGGGCTGTTGAAAAACCCGCGGGTGATGCTGACGCCTCACATCGGCACCATGACCTATGAGACACAGAAGGAGATGGAGATCCTGGTGCTGGACAACCTTCGCTTGGCGGTCGAAAAGGGCGAGCTCATCACGCAGGTTCCGGAGCAGAAGAAATAAGTAGACACTAGACAATAAACAATACCATTTTGTTAATATTTTTTTAACTTGAAAATATAAAATCATAATCTAATCATAATCATAACCAAATCATTAATCATTAATCATTGAACCATGAATTACTGAGCAGTCAGCTTTCTAGTGAGTAGGAAGATAGTTATGGGAGGCTCTATCAGTTACGATAGAGCCGCTTAGTCAGCATCGACTAACACAACAAGTCTAGCGCTAGGGCTCGCTTAGGGCACGGTCCCGAGCAAGCGCACCACACCGAAGGCAGCGTTCGATCTCCGTCCGCCGCGGCCAGACGAAAAGAAAAGCGACAACTCCCATCCGACAGGACCCCTCGGCAATCCATCAAGATGGTGAGCAAGACCAGCTACTCGGACGATTTGGCTCGAAGGGATTGATTTTTCTAATGAAGAATGGTGTTTAGGTCCGTTACGCTGCACAGGACATTCCGGCCGCAAAGAGCGCCCGCGCCCGGGGCTCTTACCTGCGTGTCAGCTTCAAGAACACTCGCGAGACCGCCCAGGCCATCAACGGCATGAAGCTGACTCGTGCCCTGACCTTCCTCGAGAATGTCACCAGCAAGACCGAGGCTGTCCCCATGCGCCGGTACGCTGGTAGCACTGGACGCACTGCTCAGGGTGAGTGGAAGAATCTTTTTTTCGCATACGTCTGGCATTCGAGAGAGGGAAGGCAAAAGATCGGCATGAAAAATTGGGATACGGATTGAGCGACGGGGGAGAAAAAAAATTGCGATCTTGGGATGAAGGGAGGGATATCGAATACGGAATCTCGAATGTTGGCCATTGTGATGGGGCATATTGGAATTTGCTATGGAATATAGGATATGGCTGACATATTGAATACAGGCAAGCAGTTCGGTGTCAGCAAGGCCCGCTGGCCCGTCAAGTCCGCCGAGTTCCTCATCGGCCTGCTCAAGAACGCTGAGGCCAACGCCGACACCAAGGGTCTCGACACCAGCAGCCTGGTTGTCAAGCACATCCAGGTCAACCAGGCCCCCAAGGGCCGGAGACGCACCTACCGTGCCCACGGTCGTGTATGTTTTTTTTTTTTATACTTTTTGCCTCCAGTCAAAAAAAAAATCTGCTGACCTCTCTAGATCAACCCCTACATGACCAACCCCTGCCACATCGAGCTCATCCTCACCGAGGGCGAGGAGGAGGTCGCCAAGGCCGCCCCCAAGCGCGATGTCCGCCTTTCCTCCCGCCAGCGCGGTGCCCAGATCCGCCAGGCCCTTATTGAGGCATAAGCGTGCTCTGTTTTTTCGTGTGTGCTTTTTGATGGATGCCTGGGGTGTGCGCGTGCGCAGCGGGTGGAAAAATTGGGAAATGACCTTGTTGAATGCCGGAGTTTGCTGTTGTATGGAACCAAATACCTGGTCAACGGAAGGCAAATAAATTTTTACTACCTTTTTCAACACTTGAATTCAAAAAAGTGAAAATAATCAGGCTGTCCATCTCCCCCAGCTGGTACATCGCAGTCAGGTCTTCGCTCAGGAGGACGACATCACTACATACACTGAAGTAACGCAAGCATTTCTCCCGCAGGATCTGGTATACTACATACATACTACATAGTATTCAAGAACTCTTGCTCGACTGATACAGATCTTTGGACTCCCCCCACTTGAACCATACTACATCGATCCACACCATCGTCTCTTGAAATAGGACAGACGCGCAAGATCTTCACCGCATAGTTTTGTAATCGTACCGCCTGATCGTAGCAGGTTACGTACGCAGTTTCGCATCTCCCATGGTGGTTCTGTAAGTCGGCCAAGAGCCAAGGGGGGCTGTGTCGTATGCCACTCTAGTTTATTAACGCCAGGATGCAGTACGAAGTACGAAGGACTAGTAGCTTCATCTTAGAGATACTAGTTATCCGAGAATCAATAATCTATTACATATTTCTTCTTATTAGTGATTGATTTAGGCATCAGCGGAATCAAACAAAGAAATACAAGTCGGTTCCACGGATACGACCTCCATTTACTTTTACTCCTGGCCATCTCACTCCTCTCGCTGCCAGCGACACGCATCTACATCGCCATGAAGCGCATCCTCAGCTCTTTAAGCAGGCGGTCGAGTGAGTCTGTCTTTGACCGGTGTTTCTGCAATATGTATCGAGGATTCTTTCAACTAACGAGCCCTCTCCATGCAGGTCCGAATCGCGAAAACAACCGCGCATCAACCGGGTCTCCGGAAGACACGATTCTGCGCGAGGTGGTCAGTGTGAAGATTCGATAAGGAATGTCTATCCTGTGCTGATGATCTGGCAAGAAAGCGTTCTGTGAGCCGATGGACGGGCCCAACCACGAAGTAGGTCAAGCCTGATGAAGAGAAAAAAGCAGAGAATTCCTCAATAAGATATGCTCAGAACTCATGCTGGTAGAATGGAACGGCCTTCGTCCACCTCCCCGCGATCGTCGAGAGCGCCGAGTCGAGCCCCGAGGCAGCCAAACTGGCCGCCCGCCGACTGCAAAAGTATCTCACGCTGGGCCGGAGTCGGCCAGGCTACATGCAGTACAACGCCGTCATGCTGCTGCGCATCCTGATCGATAACCCGGGCCACACCTTCTCGCGCAACCTGGACGCCAAGTTTGTCGATACCGTGCAGAACAATCTCCGCATGGGGAAGAACCAGAACGTGCGGCAGATCCTAGCGGAGACACTGGACGGGCTTGAGGCGAACAGGTCCGGTGATGCGGATCTGAAACCGCTCATCGAGATGTGGAAGAATGAGAAAGCCAAGTTTGCAAAGAGGGTAAGCGCCTCTCTCTCTCTCTGTGTGTGTGTGTGTGTTTGTAATTCTAATAGTATATAGGACGGCAATCCACGCAACGATAATATGCCATACACGCTCCCTCCGCAGCAGCATACCGGTCTACCACCCGCCGACGAGCTCGCCGCGCGCATCTCCGAGGCCCAGACGTCGGCCAAGTTGCTCATCCAGCTTGTACAAAGCACCCCCGTCGCCGAGCTACAGGGCAACGAGCTCACGCGCGAGTTCTGCGACCGCTGCCGCGCCGCGGTGCGCTCCGTCCAGGGCTACATCGATGCCACGGACCCGCCGCCCGACGAAGACACACTATTCACACTTATCCAGACGAATGATGAACTCTCCGTCGCGCTGTCCAAGTACCAACATGCTGTCCTCAAGGCGCGCAAGGCGGACACCACCACCCCCGCTGGAAATGTAGTATACGGTCCTTCTTCCTCCTCATCTTCCTCACAGCCGCTTGTCTCCGGTGCCGTTGCCGTGCCGACTATTGCTCCGCCACAGCCGCGGATTAGGAGTCAGGTTCAAGTTCAGGATTCAAGTCTCAGCCCGGAGTCTCCCTCAGAGCCGGTCTCGGAGATGTCCTTCCCGCCTGCACTAGAGGCAGGTCCTTCAGGAACAGAACCAACAGGCCCGCGGTATGAGTACAACTCGGACGAGTTCCAGGTGCAGAATCCCTTTGCGGATTCGTATGCGACGGGGTTGGCTGAGTCGAAGACTGCGAGCGTCAAAGCGGTATAGACATCTCTTGATATTTATATGATACCTCTCTTGTATTGCTATTTCTTGATGCTTCACTATGGCAGAACAGTTGATATTGTAAATACTATATATTAATCATTCTATTAATCATTCTATTCCTATATAATTTAACCTCATGAACATATAAACAAAGAATAGTCTGGGAAAAAGCAAAGGCAACAATATATATACAAACCTAAGCTGCCTCCTTGACGCGCTTCCCCTTGGGAACACGCGCAAGCCAGTAGATGAAGACAGCCGCACAGACATTGAAGATGATGTAGGCCCACATGATGCCAAAGTTGCGCCAGGCGTCCTTGTAGTGGCTGGAGACGGCAGCCAGGAACGTGTCCGTCGAGGAGATGGTGCAGAAGGCGCACGAGTCCGTCGCGTTCGGGTACTCCAGGTACCCGCCGTTGACGGCGATGTAGTCGGCCATGTAGCTTGCGCAGGTTGTGTTGCTGGGCGGGTCGAAGCGCAGGAATTCGACTGCCTCGCAGACGGCCTCTGTGCCGGAGACACCCGTCGAAAGCATCGCGGAGACGAGGTATGTAAATGGTGAAACCCGGTACATGAAAATCCAGAACCCGGGGAGCTCATCCGGAGTTGCAAGAACACTGTCTTATTAGAATTACATTTTTTTTTAAAAGGGGATTGCTGTTTTCTTAATGCTTACCCGCAAAACACCAAACACAGAGAGAAGAGCAGGTTGGCCAAGTTGCCACCGGTTTCTGCCAGGTCGATACCCGCAATGATCATGTGGGCAAACGTCGAGGTGAAGAGAAGGAAGGTCCAGACGAGCAGGAACATCAGGGCACCACGTTCGTGAACCGCATCTGTGGGTTCTGCGTTGCGGTACAGACCAATAGGATAGTACCAGCAGACGAAGATCAGGACGGCCATGAGCGAGTTCCAGGGCAGCTCGACGAGGATGTTGGCCGTCATGAAGGCTTTCCATGAGTAAGCCTTTGACGGGCGTTCGCGGACCTCATACAGGGAGCGCTGCGTGACGAAATGAGGCATGATCTGCTGGACCAGGTTGCCAAAGATGGTCAACAGCATGAAGATACTGAACATCTGATTCTGTAGGCCCTGGAGACTGTTCTGCGCCTTGAAGAAGGAGAAACCGATGTACAACGCGGTCAGGATGGACAGGCACGACTTGGAATAGATGTACACGGGCGTGCGCCAGTACTGCGAGAAGACGCGAATGAGGCACTCCCACAGTTGCAACGAGAAGGGGGCAGCAAATTCCTTGAAGGCGTCTGGATCCGAGGACGACGCATCGATGGACTTTTGGGACAGCGTCGACTTCAGCTGCGCCAGATGGTCCAGCACGGCCTGGCGTTCGGGACTCTCCCGCCACACGACAGGCCAATCGATGTCACTGTGGGAGCCAGGGGCCGCGCCGATTACTTCCAGCATCCACTCTGCCGGATTAGCATCCGCGGGGAGCGGCGGAGCGCCGTTCTTCTCGAAATAAGCGGCCAGAGTGGAAGACTTGTCGCCAATCTCACCAAAGTAGACGGTCTTGCCTCCCTTGGCAAGGAAAAGCAGGCGGTCGAATCGCTGGAAGAGCATGGACGAGGGTTGATGGATTGTGCATAGAATCGCCTGGCCGTGTTTGGTGAGAGTGTCGATCAGGTCAAGAATAGACCAGGAGGTTTGACTGTCAAGACCGGAGGTGGGTTCATCCAGGAAGAGTAGAAGCTGGGGCTTGGCGGCCAGTTCAACACCGATAGTAAGACGCTTGCGCTGTTCAACGTTGAGACCCTCGCCGGGAACACCAACAATTGCGTCAGCGTATGTCTCCATTCCGAGTAGCTTGATGACTTCCTCCACATAGTCGAGCTTCTCCTGGCGACTGACGTGGGCGGGCTGACGAAGAACCGCACTGAACTGGAGAGCTTCTCGGACGGTCGTAGTGTGGAGGTGAAGATCCTGCTGTTGGACATACCCTGTTTTCCGCTGGAAGGACTGATCTCGAAGTCGGCCGTCAACCAGCATCTCGCCCGTGACGACACCCATCGTCACACGACTGGCAAGCACATCCAGAAGAGTTGTTTTACCGGCACCAGAGACGCCCTGAAAAAATTATCAGAAAAGAATTTCCCCGGGGTGATAATAAATGTAGCTTACCATCAGAGCCGTGCATGTGCCAGGCTTGACCCAACCATCCACGTGGTCCAGAATTCGGCGAGATTCATTCTTGATCTTGATATCGTAACACACATCTTGCCAGTGGAAGATGGCCGTCTGTCTCTGAATACCGGTACTGACTTCGCCATTCTGGGAATCTTCAGCCTTGCCTGCAGGAGGAGCTTGGGTGCTGGTCTCGATATCCTCCGGGCGGCTGGTGACAGGCTGGTGGCCACGACGGAAAAGCAGCACCTCGCCCTTGGACTTGGCTTCAGAGATGTACTCGGTGGCAAACAGATAGGTGAACATGAAGAACATCATAAAGGCAATCATGATGCCCAGGTTTCTCCACTTGTGACTGTCGTAGTACTGGAAGTTGGTATGCAGATAGTCGTCTCCCTCAACCCACATGGAGCCAGCGACCGCACCGGTTGCATAGCAGATCTGGTTCACCAAAGCGACGTCACTATAGCCCGTGCCCGAGGGGATGAAATCCGAGCAACGGAATCGTCGGTCGTGGAATTCATTGACCATGAAACTCTCAAAGGCATAGGCAATCGGGTCCAGATAGTTCATCCAGCGAGACCAGCCCAGCATGTAGCGGGTGGGGATGGTGAAACCAGTGTAGATGACCAGGCCAAGGATGAGGATGGCCGCAGGGACCAATGCCTGGGAGAGGGTGCGAGAGGAGGCGGCAATCGTGCGGAAGATCATAGACATGGTCAAGGTGGTGACAATCGAGAAGAGCCAGAAGGTGAAGAACGCCCCGGGGGTACGCCGAAGATTGGTCATGAAATAAAGCGTAACGTTGAACGTGACTGCATTGAGTAGCTTGTAGGGCATGTCACATAGCATGGAGGCGATGGCCTCGGCAAACGGGTGGTACATGGCATAACGGGCTTGCTTTTCGACGATCGGACGTTGAGCGTATAGGGTTAGAATCTCCAGTGCACTGGAGAAGGCGTTAAGCAGGACGGCAAAGAAGAGAAGGGCGCCTCTGGAGTAGAAACTGGTGGTGTCATCCGCCAGGTTGTAGAAGACACTGCTAATGATCAAAGCCATGATGGAGTTTCCGACCAGCTGGGTGACGGTGAGACTGGCATCTCCCTTGAGGCGCTGGAAGCCTCGAACCATGCAGAGCTTGACCTGCTGCCAGACGGAAATGGTGTACGGGGACTTGACTCGCTGGCTCGTCGCCTGCATCGCCCGGCGCGACTCGATGAACCTGTCCACCGAGGCACCTCCCAGAGGGAAGGTCTGTTCGTACTCGTTGATTTCGCGCATCAGGTCAGCGTAGGCGTCGCTGCGCTTCCAAGCCGCGGCAAACTCATCTGGGGTCCGAGGCACCTTGTCTTCGAATCCCGGCCTAACGATGCGCTCCGAAGGGCTAGTTAGGGAGGTGAGAAAATCGGCAGTCGTCTGGCGTTCGGGACATTGGAAGCCCATGTCCACGAAAAATCTCTTGGCTTCATCGGTACGACCGAAGTAGATCTGCCGGCCCTCGTAGAGCACAGTGACCTTGTCGAAGACGTCGTAAGCGCTCTGGGAGGCCTGGTAAATGGCGACAGCGACGGTTGCGCCAGCGTATTTGGTCATCAGGTTCAGGGTTTTGCAAAATTCGAGAGCATTGGCACTATCCAGGCCACGGGTACTGTTGTCCCAGCATTGAATAGGGCTGCCACTAAGAGTGGCCTCGGCGATACTGACACGCTTCCGCTCACCACCACTGACACCACGGATAAAGTCGTTGCCGACCTGGGTGTTGATGGTGTGTGAAAGACCCAACATGGCCATGACCACATCTCTCATGTGCTTGGCATACTGCTCTCTGGTGACACCATCGGGCAGGTTGCGAGGAGCGCGGGCCAGCGCGGCGAACATCAGGGTGTCTCCCACCGACAATTGCGGGAAGTGGACGTCGGTCTCGGCGGTATAGATGGCTTCGCCCTTGAACTGCTTCTGCATTTGTTTGGCGGGGATACCTATAGAAAATAGTTGTGAGCAGGGTCATCGATTGGAATCATGGCAAATCATGGCAAATCATGGCAGAGTGAAAGATCTTACCTTCGTAGTTGATGCTGGATTTCTCATCCAGAAAGAGACCGTTCATTTCACCCGTCAGGGTCTTCAAGAAGGTCGAACAACCACTGCCCGGTCTTCCCAGCACGACCAGCATCTCTCCGCTTCTGACCAAACCGTCGAAATCCCGTAAGATCTGAATCTTCTGCTTGCCGGTGCCGGAGAGGGTGCGAACGAGGGCTCCGATCTGCAAGACCGAGTTGGCGACGTCCTTCTGATAGTCGGTGGGACTGCCAAACCCATGGACACTCAGGTTCCGAAAGGCGATGCCCGCCGTACGTTCCGGGTACCGTTCGGGGTCGCGGAGACGGATGGCCAGCAGGTTCTTCATCCAGTGCCGCGGGTTGAAGTTGGGCCCGTACGGATTCAGCGTCGAGTCCTCCTTGGTCTCGACGAAAGGGTTCTCCGCCACGGAGTATCTCGTCGACTGGCGGGTCAGCTGGCGCGCCAGGCGAGTGACCTCATCCTCCATGGCCTCCTCCTTCTCCTCCTCCATCCCATCGGGGTTGTGGTCTGCCGTCAGGGCGGAGCTCATGTTGGATTCATCATCATGGAATCTGCTCTCCGCCAGCTGTGCCTCGGTTTCCGGGTCCGTATGTCCCGCCACACTGCGTTCAGGGTTCAGATTCGGATTGATCGTCCCCAGGAGAGACATGGCGAGGTGGCAGGCCAACCAGTCTGTAGTATAGATTAGGTACAGTAATCCGTCAGATATCGAGATATCGATATATGGATACGTAGACACGTATATAGACAGAAAGAAAAGAATTATTAACAATTACATAGAATAGGAAGACACAGTCAGACTATAAGATAACGAGCGACAGAAGAGACAGACGATAAATAGAAGGAGTGGGAAAGAATCTGCCAGATGAGCGAATCGGGAGGGTGGCATTGCAGGCTCCGATAAGCTTGGAGGGAACAGTGCTGCCTGAGGCCTCTCGGAACCCACGAGCTTAAGCCCGGTCCCGCTCCGATTCCCTGCATAAAACCGGCCCAAATACCAGTATCTAGGTATGGAGTGGGTAATAATACACCGCTGGGTACGGGACTTGCCCCTGAGAGACTCGAGAGCAGCTGCCACTGGGCCAGGGGTGGGCCTGGTGGGCCGGGACCAGCTGGTTCCGACGTTCGGGTACCGTACGGAGTAAGTATGGGGCTTTACCGGGTCCCGTCGTGTATTGTGTACGGTATTGTATATTGTATTGGGACTTCCCCTGATCTTGACCTGTTTGGGCCGTGCACTTACTAGTAACAGCCTAACAGGTAGTTAGGTATTTCTTTAGTTACTACTCCGTACAATACTCTAATACCTAGGGAGGTTACTAGGAGATTCCCCGGAGAGATCCTTCTAGCGCACTATGACATTACTATAATTATTAGGGCTGACGCAGTTCCGAGATCCGCTCGTACTCCGTACTACATTGTATTGTACGGAACGGACCTCTGTACCCGATAAATGGATTTGGAATATTATTATCGTCGAGGTACGACCTAGGTATACTATGGTTTCATTATCAATAAGATTAACTACTATCGCAATAAGATATGATCACTGCTGATACTTCTACAGATTGATTACTAAGATGTATACTATCTGTAGTAACAGTAGGTACCTAGGAGTACTAGGCAGCTAGAGTAGGAGTGGAAGCCGTAGTAGTATTCCTGAGGCAGCAATTTGTGGTAGACTGTAGTACTACATACTAGGTACGGAGTACCTAGTAACCGCAGAATCATACCTAGGTATACTCCATACCCAGATAGTAGGTGCCTATACCTCTTCTTCTTCTTCTTTTTCTTCTTCCTCTTCCTCGCTCTCTTCGTCGATCGGTTCGACGAGAAGGTTTCCACCCCGACCAACCTTGTCAGCAATGGTTCCGCCGGCCTCCAACTCATACACAACCCGGGGCATGGGCGAGACGAGACGGAATCGGTATTGGTGCTCGAATCCCTCGGGTTTCTCGGACGACACATCAGGCTGCGCCTGCAAGACTTCGTAGCACTCCACAAAGGCGTAGAGCTCTTCGAGAGCCGCCCCGGGGGGGAACATGCGGATCACCCGCTCCCCGGACGGTAGCCGGATGCTGATGCGCACGGCATCCCCGACGGCCGGCCCCGGTTCGGCTGCAATCGACTGCGCCCGCCACTGTTTCCACTGCTGCAGGTCGCGCTGACGTTTCTCTTCCGCCGCCTGGCGCTCCGCTGCCGCCTGCTCCTCGCGCTGGCGGGCAGCCTCGGCCTCCCGTCTCTGGCGGGCGCGTTCGCGGTCGATCGCCAGGGACCGCTCGTAGGCGGAATCCTGCTGTTCCCGAAGACTGCGCGAGGCTTGTTGCTCCGCCCGCGAGGCACGGATGCGGTCGAGGGCCTCTTTGTTCTGCGTGATCGCGCCACGCAGCTTGGCGAGAAACTCGGTGGGCGTGGTGTTGCCTGCAATCCGACTTACCACCGACATGGCCGTCGAAGACACGTTCGGCGTATGCACAATGACGGCGGCAAAGGGGAACTTGGAACATCGGAGCGAATTGGCGACCTGGTAGGTCTCGGAATCCTGCACATTACCCCCCCACACCAACAGGTCCCCCTGCGAGCTGGTGATATATTCCGTCACCTCGCGAGAGAGGAGCGTCTCACGCACCCAGCTGCTTGTATCGTCATGCTCGGGCGATAATAAAACCACCAGCAGGAATTTAAGATCCCGGTGTGCCTTGTCTAGTGCCATATTATACCCGTTCTCCAAGAACGGGAACGAGTTCGGTCCGTACTCTTCTTCGAATTCTCGAATGAACCGGGCCGCCGTATCCTTCGGTCCCAACGTCCGGCGACCGTTGGTATTCCGGCGACCACCTTGCAGGGCCGGGTTGGCGGTCACGTTCAATAAGCGTGGGAGGAAGGGGAATAGGCTGCCAAAGAGCTGGAAGGAGCTGTACAGCAGTCGATACAGCAGGTTGAACGGAGTGAACAGGAGGGCGATCAGAAACGACGGCCGATAGACTCCCTGGTCTTCCGGCTGCGTCTCAACCCGCCGGACAGGCTCCACCGCTCGAGCAGCAGGCGAGAACCGAGCAGATAGATCCTCGCTCATCAGATTCTGCGTGTGTCGGGTCGGCCGTGGCGGAGGGCTGTTGAGGGCTGCTCGAGCTTCTTCCACCGGATCGGGTCCTTCCCCATCGAAGAACTTGGAGATTGCAATCTATAAACATCAATAGTTAGTTCCGTCGCACTTTTTTCTTCTTTTTTAAATTCTTCTCGCATGGTTACGAACCTGTACGTTCCATTGCGACCGGCGCAGCAGAGCTATCGCCTCTGACGGTTCCTGGCCGGTCACGGCGGTGTACGTATGAAGAGCCTCCTGCTCTCTCTCCGAGAGCTGTCCAATTTCAGTTTCCGCCGCAGACATCCTGCCTTTCTTCTTTTTCTTTTCCTTTTCTCAAGCAATCGTCTCCATGGGCTAGCTGGAAGCGGTGACGTGTTGCAGGGCCCGTAGACCTCAATCCAGACGTTGAGAACCCTCTCTGGTGCCCTTTTCCAAAAGAATAAACAGATGTAGCAGAGTAGAACCGTCCAAAGCAGTGCGTGTGCCACCAGACCCTCAGTTGTGCACTCGCTCGAGCTCCAGATAATCGTCCAAGCTGGCGTTTCCGTCATCGCTTCGCTAGACGCGAGCCTTGGACAATCATCCTTGGCCCGTGCACGTCCTCGCCCACTCCCTTCTTCGCTCCCCCGCCGAACTCTCTTCCTCCCTCACTGCCATCCCCTCGACGGATGACAAGCCCGCCTGCCCTGACCGGCTCCCCGGGCGCTGTGTTCTCTCTCTACCGCTGAGGCTTCTGAACGTCTGCTCTCTGAAGGCGTAATCGGGCCGCCGTTCCACCCGGATCGATCTGCCAACTAGGCCTCGGGTTTCTCTGCGTTGCTACCCGGAAATCGACGCGATCTCTCTCTCTCTGCTTCGTGGATAGGCGACGGTGTGCGTCGATCGAGGAATGTGGTTTCCTCTAGATATCCTTGGTCGCCCTGTCTTTCTCTCCTCTGGGTCAATGGATCTCTCGCCGCGCTGATCTGCGCCGAATTGTGGGTATATCATGGCCTCCGCCGGGAAGCCCAATCTGGACGATTCTCGTCGCAGCATGGGATCGCCCAAGCTCAAGGCACGAGGTATGTTGTGATCTATCTGCCTCTTGGAGACCATAGATCAAAAAATTTATTAATAAGCTCTTCTCGGTTTAGTAGAAAACGCAAAGGATACTCTCTGCCGGAACGTGACCATCTACGGACGATGCCGATATGAAGATAAAGGTGCCGCGATATTAACCCCCCCCTCTCCTTTGACACCGTTGGAAGGCTGGATTAGGATCTGACTTGTGGATTGTACTCCTGAAGGCTGTGCCTTTAACCACGACCCTCACAGGCTCAACTCAGCAGACAGGTTGGGATTCCCATTCTTTTTCCCACCCAGTATTCGAGTTAAACCGCTCACCAAGATTTTGTTCAGTGCCAATAAGAAACGGTTCAACGTCGACTCACCCAGTTTTACCCCCTCTCTCTTGTCGAGCAACGGCTCCTCTACGACCAAGAAACCTACCACAATATCTCCCAAGGCTGTTAGCGCAGCGCCTTTCCAGCCGAAAACTGTCGCCTCTCGTATGTGTACCCCTTTGCTCCCTTCCCTCCTGTAATTTTATGCTATGTTAGCATCGCTGATACCCGCTAGGCTCCAACACCAGCACTCCGGCCCGTCAGGATGTGCTTGCTGCTGACTGGACCGTGGCTGACGTGCAGGAATTTGTTCCCCAAGGGTTCGACGCTTCTCATGTGGTAAGACTTCCCCACCAATCGATATGACGTCTCTGTACGCTGGTCGCTCCTTCCCTTGTTTGAACACACACACACACACACACACACACATACCAGTCGGGAATGCACTCTCGATTTCCCCGGCGTCTTCAATGCTTTGGCGTTGCCCTCTGTCTCTACTAGACTCTGCACGGGTTTGCACAAAACCGTCGTGGACCATGGCGTACAGAAGGTTCCGATGTTCTCAGGCTTGTCCGGGACGCAATCAGGATGACCGAAATACTGGATTGGCTCAGCCCTCCTTTCGGTCCATCTCCACCTCTTGCCTACCAATGCAGCCTGCCGGCGACTGGTCTCCGGGCTCTTTCATCCCACCGCCTCCATTTTATTCCAGAGTTTATTATGCCTATTACGAACCGGCCTCTAGCCAGGATGATTCTTCGCATACTGACGTGACCTTCCAGGCTCCGCTCCAAGGAAACGGCAATGGTGGACTCGCATCAGCTGGGCCCTTCGACCCCTTTGTAGCACCCTCGACCCCACTCGGAACTCCTGGGGCTGTTAGCCAAGTTCAACCTAATCCCTATTCTCATGATCCTACGGGTACACTTGGCGGTGCCTTTTTCGCCAACCAGGGCGGCTTCCAGCAGCCTGTTTGTTTTCCCCATTATTCTCGGCCTGGAGTTTAATTCTTGCTGATCCGTGTTTGCAGGTCCAATATCATCTTTATGCCCCGATAGGCCCTCATAGTCAGAACACTCTAGGCTACCAGAAAAATGTTCATGACCTCTTTCTACCAAACGACTTCCGCGAAGAACTGCAAAAGAAAGCAGCGGCTACCTTGCAGACCTTGCCAAGTATATAAGATACGACCCGACCAGATCACATCAGAACGAGAACTGACTTTTTTTTTCCCCCGTACTAGACACCCAACTGCCCGCCCAAGTGGATTATTTCCATTCTCTTGTCCCTCTGGACTTAACTCACCAGAAGAATGCCACCACCTTTGGCTTCCCGAGTTGGGTATATAAAGCTCAGTCGAGTAAGGACGGAAATTTCTATGCGCTTCGTAGGCTTGAAGGTAACATATCTTGAAAGAAAAAAAAAACTTTGAAGATCGAAAGAACCGATCTAACAGTTATTCTAGGCTTCCGCTTAACCAACGAAAAAGCAATCCGTTCGGTCCAGGCGTGGAAGCGGGTCTGCAACGGCAGTGTGGTGACTGTGCATGACGCCTTTACCAGCAGAAGCTTTCAAGACAGCTCCTTGATCTTCGTGACTGACTACCACCCGCTATCGAAAACCCTCGCGGAGCAACATCTCGGCGGTAATAATCGATTTCAGGGTCGGCATAACCCCCATATTCCCGAACAGGTGCTGTGGAGCTACATCACCCAGATTGCGAACGGCTTGAAGGCGATACACAGCAACGGGCTGGCTGCAAGGATTATTGATGCCAGTAAGATCCTACTGACCGGCAAGAATCGCGTGCGACTGAACGCCTGTGCGATCCTGGACGTGGTTCAGTTTGATACACAGCGAACCATCACAGACCTGCAACGTCAGGATCTGGTCAACTTTGGCCAACTAATCGTCACCCTGGGAGCCAACTCACCCACCGTGATGCATAACCCTACCAAGTCGATGGAACACTTCACCCGAGCCTATAGTCCGCAGCTAAAGAACTCGGTGTTCTGGCTGCTTGGCGCTCTGCAAAAGGACCAAGAGCGCAACATTGATGTTTTCATCACTGGGATTTCGTCGCAGCTGATGTCGACCTTTGATTCGGCCCTGCATCTGGACGACCAGCTCACCTCGGATCTCAGCCGCGAGCTCGAAAACGGACGCATTGTGCGACTGATGACGAAGCTGAATTTCGTCAACGAACGACCCGAGTATGAACACGACCGGCAGTGGTCGGAGAATGGGGAACGCTACTTTTTGAAGATTTTCCGAGACTATGTTTTCCACCAAGTGGACGCCCAAGGCGATCCAGTGACCGATCTCGGACACGTCCTAGCCTGTCTCAACAAACTGGACGCAGGGACGGACGAGAAGATCACTCTTGTGAGCCGGGATGAACAGAGCTGTTTCATCGTCAGCTACAAGGAGTTGAAGAAGGCTCTTGAGTCGTCTTTCCAGGCACTCTCAAAGCCCACCCGACGGATGCATTAGTCGGGGGGTTCCCGCAATCTAATATAGGCGATTGAGTATGCGATCGAAATACACGATTAACAAGGCATGGATGTATTTGAGAATGGGTTTGGCTGTGATTCTGGCCGTCAATCGATGTCTCGGTTTATATCGAATGAATACTTGATTGCTTGAGTTGGCAATGGTGATAACTAGTATACATAGCAAATGAATACTTGACTTTAGTAGTAGTCCCTTAGCTTGTGAAGCCTCTACCTACTGGTTAGTTATAAATATATAGTTACATTAATTATATCAGATTCATAAGTCAATGTATAAAACTTTCACCGATAGCAATTATATATTTGATACGAACCGAGAAATTTCCAGAAATCCATGGTTTTTTCATCCTTATGATACTTCATTATTTTATAATATTCTTGTGTCCAGATACTAGTCAAGAAGGCATAGCTATTTGCATCATTCATTCGAGTCATTAGTTCTTGGGTTGATTTTATCTGACATTGCTCATCGAGCGTGATTTTTGAAAAATTCCCTGCCGCAGAGGAAGTCGGTCTTCTTGACCGATTTCCCTTCCAATTCCGAGTCTGGACACTGACTACTACCTAGACACTCACTTACTCCTCCTGCTGGACAAAGGGATTGGCAATCTCCTCGCTGCCGTCCGCCGGGGAGATCAAAACAATCAAAGTCCCACGCGCGACGATCAGGCCAAGGGAGCGGGTAGTCTCGTTGCCATCGTCATCTGAAACGTTAACAAGAAGAAGAAGAAGAAGAAGAAGAAGAAGAAGAAGAAGAAGAAAAAGAGTCTCACCTCGCATGACTTCCTTGACCTCATCGAGCACCAAGTTCATGAGCTGATCGAAGCCCTTGAGCGTACCGGTAACTAGTATGATATTAGCCGTAGTCAGGAGATATCAGAGATATAAGGATTTGGATTACCCTCTCTTCCTCCATTGAACTTGACATGGACCAGCTTATCCATATACTTGGATAAATCGAGGATATTCTCCTTCTTGGGCTTCTCCTGTTTCTCCTTCTCCCTATCGCCATGCTGTTGCTGGTGATGCCCGTGGTGCTGGTGTGCACCGCCACCTCGTGAGCTGTGTTGGGTGGAGTGGGAGTGGGCGCCACGGCCTCCCCTGTCGTGACCTCCGCCGCGGCCACGGCCCCGAAAGGAACCTCGTTCAGACATTGGTTAAGAGGGGTTAGGGAAGGGGGGAGGGGGAGAAGAGGGGCGAAGAGGGGGGAAGAGAGGGGGG